TAAAATAAATGAAAATTTTCAAAATATATTAAAAATAAATAAAATAAACAAAATGAAATCAAACTAAAACATATCTTGCATAGTTATACACTAAAGATTTATTATATTATTATTAATAATATTACTATATTAAATATATGTAAAATAGTTCTTTTATTATTAATAAAAACAAAACCACATAAAATTATTATTAATTATTTTGTAAATATTATCATATAAATATATATAGAAACAAACAATACACACAAAATGCCTTCTTTGTTCATATTTTTTCTTTTATTATAACAAACAAATTACCAAAGTTGTTTAATTATTTATCCCAGAATTTATCCCAAAAAAATATGCATATGTATTAAGAGGAAAACAAACAAAAAGAATAATACTCAAAATAATAGTCATTAAGAAGTACCTTTTTTGTATAAAAAATATTATTATTATATATAAATAAATAATAAAATCAACAATTATTAAAACGAAAATGTTTAATAAATTATAAAATGATTTAATTAAATGGTTTTTGGTGTTTTAATTATTCAGAGGTGAGAACCATGGCGCAATAAATAGGTAGTCCATTTAGCGCAGCTGATGTCTCGATTAACTGTCAAAGTGCGTAATTTCTACTTGAATTCGATGTGCAATGCTGCCAACCATGTGAAATATTAGGTTCGTTCGTTTACTCAATAATTTGTACGAACTTGTACAAATTATTACAAAATGTTGTTCGTTTACCCAAAAGTCCAGTAAAAGAGAGTGAATTGAGAGAGCAGATTTGACAGTTGTGTTACTGAGTATTTGCAAATTCTTACAAGGAAAATTTACTCAGTAAGAATTTTCTTGTACCATCAGCTGATATTTAATCATCTGTTTTGTTATGTTTTGTAAATAAACAAAAAATTGTTCTCAAGAAAATTGATTGTTTTGTGAATTTTATTTTGATTTTGTATCATTAAATACCAAAATGGATGAAGAAAACGAAGGTATTTAAAAATAAGGTAATACAATACAAGTTTTCTCTCTTGAGAAGGAAAAATTCGTATTTACTCTCTGCAAATTCTTACTGAGTAAATATTACTGGGAAAGTAAACGAACGAACCTATTATAAGGAAAAATTTGACAGATGATCGAGACAAAAACAAAGGATTTTGTTTTCATACATCACAAAAAAGAAACACATTTCATCAAGGCCTATTATTAAGGTCATCCAGGGAAGCCAGCTGCATATCAGCTACTTCTCGAGTTTGGTTTCAAAATCCATCATTGTGAATTGATTTCCATTATGAAAACGTAAACAATGTCCAAATTTTTGGCATTAGATTGAAAAAAACAGCTGATTTCGCTAGTTAGGTGACCGTATTAAAAGATCTTAAACTAAGCGGGAATTTTTTGAATTAATTTTCAGAGGACTTGTCCGTGATGTACTTGGCAAGGGTGTGGATTTTTTCAAATTATTTTATAAAGAGTATGGGGGGAAATGAACGATTGTCTATGATACCTGAGCGGACGAGGCGAGAATGTCACTACCTCTTGAATTGGGAATTTTTTGCGGGAAATTTTTGAATTAATTTTCAGAGTACTAGGCCATGATGTACTAAGCAAGGGTGTGTATTTTTCAAATTATTTTATAAAGGCATTTACAAACAGCTATCCGACACGTGGATTTTTAGGGAAATTTTTCAAACAGATATCCCTGCTCTAGGCTTGGATTTTTTTTATTAAATTTGTAATAAACCATCCAAAAATTGTGTAACTATGCAAGCTCCAATCCGCGTTCGGGTAGCAGAGCTGAATACTAACGGACGCGTCCACAGGCTGCGGATAGTGGGAAGCCCAATACTATTCATTTGGTAACTGTGGATAAAAAAATAAACAGTCGCGGACAATCAGCGGGTTCAGGGGGAGAGTCTCGGAGGTAATGAGCGATTGTTTATGATCCCTGAGCTGACGAGGCGAGAATGGCATCCCTTAATACCCATCTCAAAGATCTGGGTCACTACCTCTTAAAGTGACCACCGTAACGCTAGGGTGCCATGCGACCTCTGTCCATCAGTGTTCTACGGTTTGCAGTCATGGTCCCGACTGTAGTAGAACGGATCCTTGTTGATACCTGGGCGCCTCAACAAGATCATTCAGGCTTACTTCCCGAGTCCTTGCCATGGTCGACCTCAATCCCTCACCAAAATCATATTATACAGAGCCGAATTTTAATTAAAACGACGAATCACCTTTGTCAGACGAGGAAGACATCATGGAAACTACAGTGATTAGCACTACGGTGACGAACACAGTAGCTATCCTGGTGTCTCCTCCGAAGCAAGGCGAGTCCTCCCAGATGATGAGTAGGGGTGTTAACCCTGGCGAGGTTGAGGATCCGAACTCCATCTTCATGGCCTGTATTGACGTCGCGAGACTTCTCTGGCAGTTGGCTGTCGAAGCGGAGACTGGGACACTGATGAGATTCCCGTTGTTAAGATGGATGAATCATCAGTACCAGGAACTGCAGGACAAGTCAACGCCAAGGAGATCGCTGTAAAAAAGATGTACCGGAGAGCGGTTAACTATTGCAATCGATTCATCGGACGGAACAGTGAATCCATAACGGAAAATGAGTTCATTTTGATCAAGAGGAACCTCAAATTCATTCGGAAGTTCTCCAGGAACTAACCGAATGATATTGCGAGGGACTTCTTGGCTAAAAGGATTCCTAGACCTGGTGCGAAGACCACCACGGTTCCTTCAAAGAAGGAGAAAACTGTTGAAGATCCTATATCCTAGGAAGCTGGTGGCTGAGACGTCTAGCCCTCAGTACCTCCCAAGGGTAAACTGAGTACTGGGACGTCTCAGACACCAGCATCCACGAAGACGGAAGACGGAGAGCCCATAAAAAGACCTCCAAGTAGGTTGATAAGGCACAACCTCCCTCTGGAAATCCACCTTCTGCCAAAATGTTGAAACCGATATCCAAGGTTGTGACAATGAAGCAGTTGTAGCGAGCGCGAAGCAGTTGCCTGCTTCGGTTGGGCCTGTCTCTGCGGCGATTGTGACCCCTGGGAGCCGAATCTCGATCACAGCTCACAGCTGTGAAGAGAATGAGGTTCTCGGAGGAACAACAACCTGCTGCTAAGAGACCCACGCAGTCGTCAGTTGCACAAAGTTCTGTTTCGTTCGCGTCGGTAGTAGTGTCGATGGAGAAACCTGCTAAGAGCGGTGAGGGTGTGGTGAAAGCCAAAACCGCTGTCTCGAAGCAGGTAGCCCAGAAGCCTACAACGGCGCCTAGCGATCATGGATCGAGCTGACCCTGACGGGATTATCAGCGAAGATAAACGGTTGCTAGTCGACAGCTATTTGAAGGACCTCTTCCTATCCGACGAAATTTATCGACAGAACCTACGATTTGGCCAGATCACCTTATACAAATGGGTCAAGGTTGTTAATTGTCTAACTCAGAAGTCTGCGGGTTTCCTTAGGAAGACAATTAACAGCTGCGACCCTCTTTGAGAAGGTAGCAGCCTGGAAGCCGTAGCGGTCCACGAAATATAAAGCGGAATGGTAACATCTGTGTGGATCCCACCTCTGTGTGGAAGGACCTCTTCCTATCCGACGAAATTGATCGACGGAACCTACGGTTTGGCCAGATCACCTCATACAAAGAGGTCTAGTTAGTTACTTGTCGAACTAAGGAATCTGCTGACTTCCTTAAGAAGACAATTAACAGCTGCCACACTCTTTGAGAAGGTAGCAGACTGACAGCCGTAGCGCAATGGTGGATTTCACCACCTTTTAAGGTACTGGAGAATACACTACGGTAGTGGAAAAGCAGAACGACGGTTTACAGATGAGAAGGTGGATAATCCTCGCCTTATTTGAAAGGAACGGCGTTATGGTCGCAAAGTTCCCTATCTGCTGGTGAGCAATATTTAGGGAGGAACAGGGGGGAGTTTACGATTCACTTCATCCCTCTGGATGACGTTCTTCAGATTCAATCGACTGACAACCAATTACCTTCACAGATACACCCATCATGATCCCCTCCGAAATCCGTTAGAGATCATTGACCACTGCTGTGGTTGTTGTTCATGAGAGAAATGCATCTACTTCACTTTGGTGGTAGATTAATCATATATTTGTTCAATGGGAAAATTTTCGGCAACAACATCCAACATTATCGACTTACCACCTGCAGCCATGGAGTTCGGTTTTCCATCTCTGCCCTACCGCCCTTTCATGATTCATGGGGGATTTTTGAATTAGGGGAGTCACAGCGATTACCGTTGTGTTAACCACAGTAGCAGCCATGGCGTCATCCTCGTCCGTCAAGGGCGAATCATCCCAGAGGTAAGTCGGAATTATTTCCACTATCTTTAATTAGATTTTCTGAGGAATATGAGATATTTGGTAAGGTAATTTAGCTGCTAAGCCTAAAAAACCTTATTGAGGCGTCAAGGTATCATGAAGGGTGCATTCTAATATATTTGGTAACCTGACTGCAAACTTCGAAACACTAATGGATCCTCAGGTTACATTAGGTGGGAAGTGATAAAAAATGTTATTTAGGGGGCGCCCCGACAATCTTGGGATAATAAACAGTCGATAATTTCCTCCAAGTCTCTCAATCAAACCCCTCTGGCTGTCCATGAGGGTAAGTCTGTTTTTGATAGTAGTCTTCTTTTTTACTTGGCATAGAAATTTCTATTTTAAAGCTTTCCGATATATTTTCCTTTCTTTCGAATCTCTTAGTCACCAAAGGAGTTTCGAAGGCAATTATATTTTAATTCCATGCACAGCAAATAATTTTGAATTTAATTTATTTATCAAATGAATCTGTAAGTATTAAAAAAACAACAATTTTATTTACACATGTATTTCAATCTTTATTCAATACAAATTCATATATTTCATATTATGAATAATAATTATAAAAACTTAGTAGATATTCAAATAACAGAAAAAAATGCCGGCATTTTTTGTCGTGCATTAAATGTTCACCGCATTCCTCCTTCCGCTTACATTTCTACATAAGTTGGCATTGTCATAACACCACAATTATTTTTACGTGCTGACATTAAAATGTAACCATCATTACCCCAATATGTTGACCAGGAATTCTTCACAAGCCAATAGTCTTCACCATTTATGGTGCCATAACCCACCGCCAATACGGCATGATCTAGTTCATCTAAACCATTTTTACATGTGGCCTCATAATAGACACCATGTGAATAGAAACTGAATGTTTTGGGTGAGGCATCAATGGCCACCGACAGGGGGCCATGTTTAAGTAGGGCAATTTTAAAGGCTTCTGGATCGTTGGAGGTAACATTTACGAAACCTTTAATTGGGGCCACAAGTGAAACATTTTTGGCATGACAATATCCATCTTGACCCAAATATGGACCATATTCCTCTTCAGTGGGTACACCACCCATTTCCATAATCCATTGATAGGCACGGAAATCCTCACCACCATCACAACCATTGTTGCCATATTGCCAGGAGCAATCAATTAAAGCTTGTTGTGATAAACGCACCAAGTTGCCGCCATTCTTAAGGAAGTAGGCACCCTCAATGTGGCCAATGGTGCCAAACGACCAGCAAGAGCCGCAAACCGATTGATCTGTAATTATACAAACAATTTAATTTCAAAATGTGAGAATAAAAATGTAAATTCCCTTTACCCTTAACTGGAGTCACAGCACCAAATATACGCCAATCATATTGTTCGGGAATTTGATCCCTCAATTTGGCCGTGTTGTAGGGGAATGGTTTACCGGTATTGTAAACACCCGTTGATCTAAAACCACGACGTGCCTTCAACTCCTCATCGGTCTTATCAGCCAAATGATTTACAGCCAAGGTGTAACTTAATTTTGCACGATTCTTGGAATTGATGAATCTCAAATTCTGCCTGAAAACATTCTTCCTATATTCATGTTCATGCTCAGTCCTGTAGTCAATGTTGTGTTTGTTTTTAAACTCTTCAAAATGATGATCCACATGATGATCAACGGCAGGATGGACAAATTCTTTCATTGGATTAAATGTGGCATAATGACCTTTACCGGGTCCCGGGAATGCAACACACTGCATATCATCATCCAATTCGAAAACTTCATTGGGAATATCATCATGTTCATAGCTATCATAATCCAAATAGTAGTGATCATAATGTGAACCCAATAGAGTGTTGTAACCGCGCATTTCATAACGTACTGGTATTGGCATACGCGATGCGGGATATTTAGGAGATTTCTTATAGCGCACCCACAACGTATACACATTTTTCTTTTGTCCTATCGTTTCTTCCAAACGGAATTTATCACATGTAAAACCCAAAAATGTTTCAGTTCCAATTAGCGTGAAATCCTTGACATATGGTAGTATTGATTGTATCTCAACGGGACTGTCAGCTGTACCATTCAACTGTAGACATGTTACTTTATTCAGCTCATCGCGTGTCGTTATTGGTGCCAATTTCAATGACGTTCCATAGGGATGCTCATTACCCAATTGATATGTTTTCACCATACCACCATAATAATCGATACGTGAACGGTTTGTATTCTTATCATACCAGGCATAGAATGGTTCAGCAATTTCAGCATATGGTATATACAGAGTACCTTTGACAATGTAATTTGGATCCCATCGCGGTGGTTTAGTGGCCAGTGCTGGAAAAGAGAGAAGATAAGTTGGAGAGTTAGATTTTAATCACATATTTTAAGAGAGATAACATGGAAATTTTTATTAACTACGAAAAAAATTGTTGACGGTTTTAAGCTAAGTTTTTATAATTCTTCCCAGAACCGAATATTTTATATCTTACGGACATTTATATGCAATACTGCTTTCCTTCTCTTGAGACTATTGTGCAACGAATGATGTTGGAAAGTGTGGCTAAAACTGTCGGTATAGTTAAAAACGACATTTAAAAATGTGCAGCGTAACGTGAGGTCCAAATCCACATGCAGGGCATGTGCCTAGTATTGGACAGCACCAAAAGTATGATTGATTATAATTGGGCTAAAATCACTCTCGTTTGTCGAGGCATCTAACGCTTTTCTGCTGGTGGTGGTGGGTGGACTTAAAGGATTGTTGATCTAGGGGTTATTTCTTATACCATTAGACCTCTTTCTCCATCGTCTAGTCTAATTCTGGTGATAGGTTTCTATTGTTGTTGTAGCTTAAACCGGGTTCCATAGTTGAAAAAAGCTTAGAGATGGTGGAAAGTGAGCACCCGCTAGTCTGTGCCGTCTGTAGGCCAGTACTGGACAGCGATACAGGAGTTGCTCAATTGTTTCCTTCTCCTCCTCGTCAGCAAAGAGTCTGCAGTAATCAGTAACACCATGGTTCCATTTACTGGTAAGGGCCCTGATATTGAAATGACCTGCCATTAATCTAATTTAAGCTTTGCCCAGGTTCTACAGTGAGTTTGTTCTCTTGGTTGACAGAGTCGGCCAGATAGATCTTGACACATTGCACCTAGGTTCGTTGTGCCAGAGTTCATTGGCACTCGAGGACGACCTCAGATTTGATATTTCAGGATTTGAGGGCTTTAAGAGCCGCCTGACTATCCACAAAGATAGTCACCGGTTCAACGACCTTCCAAATAGTGAAGATTTCAACTTGGAAAACACTACAGTTGCTATTCAGCTTGTATGTAAGCTCAAGGCCTAGCCTTTCACAGTAGACGCCAGCCCCTGTACCTTCTTCCATTATGGAACTGTCTGTATAAAAAGCCAGACCGTCCAGAGGAGGGTTGCTACGATGGTTACAGTCGTCTCTACTAGGGATAACGAACTCTATATCGTCAAAGCTCAGGACATTGGTCCAATGTCATAACTAGTTCGTTCAGGATACATAGCTACAATTTCGGCATAGATTTTGTTCATGCAGACTTAGAGCACTATGCGCTACCTGACACTTAATGCCTTAAGTTCAGCATTCCGTTCAGAGCTGCTTGTGCGGTGCTCCTCGTGGCTCCTGTTATTAAAATCGAGATGTCTCTTTGTACCTTTGTAAATACATGTTAGCAACGTACGAATTTTATAAAGCCATAGCCCTTACAACTCAATGGAAAGGTATTTTTATAACCTTTAAAATTATACCCATTTTATATATTAACCGGATCCGTAGAACCGGATATGACCGGATCCCGTACCCGAACTTCCGGGTCAAATAACCGGGTAACCGCGTACATCCCCCAAGAAAAAAGGATATCCCCATTATTAGGGTAAAAATACCTACCTCTGAAAAAAATTTCAGAAAAATCTGATCGTTTTTACTAAACTAGAGTTGTTCCAATCGATCTTTAATATTGCGAGCTTTATAGTGAGTTCAACAGACGGACATTTCTAAATCGAAATATAATTTGTACCGTGACCATATGTGTTTAATTTACAGGGTCTACGACTAGAATTGCAAAGGAAATAAATTTAATATACACTCCACCTTATGGTAGAGGGCATACCTATATACCCATCACGCAATGGATTAATTGACACAGACTTGTTTGTTGCATTTGTATGCATATATTTGCTGTACTTCTATGAATATGCAAAAAAAACACTCGCCATTTATTAAATTGAACCTCTCAACACTTTTTTCTTGCACACCTTCAAATTATAACAAAGCAATTAATATTAAATTACAATTAAATTTTTATTTACCTGTAGCAGCACAACAGCCAACAATGAAAACCAAAATCAATGCACAACGCATTTTCGATGTTGCCGAAGAACACTTTTGTTTGCTTGCACTTTTATCAGTCTTTTTTTCCTTTGTTTCTCAAATAGATTTTATACTTTTCCTTTCTTGGTGAGTTTTTTGATTTTTTAATTATACAAAAAGCGGCAACAACACCAACTATGACAACACTTTCTTCTATGCCACTGCCACCGTTGGAAATAAAAATGAACCTCTAAGCTTGAGGTTAAGTTCGCTAATAATCTATTGTGCTGGGAATTATTTATTTATTTGCGAATTGAAAGTTTCAGTCAGATTTGGTTTCAGACATTGCTATGCATGTGTGTCACTTGGTTCTTTTTTGTTTTTTTTTTTTAATACAGTTAAAAGGCGGCGAGAGAGATAATGAGAGTCTCTCTCCCATTTAACTGCAACAGTGTTGGGCAATTGAAAGAATTTTTGCAATGCCATTGCAAAGTAGGAATAAATTACAGAAATAAAATCATTTCAAAATAAGAAATTAATAAATAAAATTTAAATATATATGACATTTTTAAAAGGTATTTAATTTATAATTATTAAAACTAAATGTAAATAAAATGCCAATAAAACTAACCTTAAAAATTTGTTTTGCCATCACTGTTGAGTGTTGTGGGCTACACAACACACACACACGCATTCATATTTGCAGTAAAAAATAAACAAAAGCCGGTGAATCGTCGTTTTTTATTTTATTTTTTATATTTTTGCAAATATGAATGTATGTATATTTGTTGTACTATTTATTTTGTGTTCATCATATTTTTTTCTAATCGTCAGCTTTTATCATTTTATTTAATTAAAAGCTGACTCCAACTAAACAAATTTTTCATAAAAGGTCATCTTCGTTGCTCTCTTTGAGGCCATCATTTGGAAATTTGTGAAACATTCGTACAGTAGTGATTAAAACTATGTACAATTTGGCATAACATGAATATAAGACATGAATTCGGATTGAACTGAATTTTTTAAATTATAGTCCAGACAATAGTGAGCTTGAGTTTTATTTAGGGATCGCGAATCGTTTCGAAAATTTTACCCAAATTGACTTAGTGCATTTTAAAAAGCATGCATTTTAAAATAGTCACAGTCGTACTTTGGCCCATATCTCAGGAAATATATACAGTAGATATCGGATATAAGAAACTCAAAAAAAGCCGGAGATTTCGTTCTTATAGGCGGTTTTTTCTTATATGGAATTATTGGATATAAGAAAGTATAACCTCGGTGTTTTGATAATCTTTCTTATATGAGATGTGATTATATCCGATATCTACTGTATTTCTGCAAGAAAAAAATTATGTCGTTGTAACCCTGGCCCAGTTTTGCAACGTTTTATATGAAATACTTCTAACGAAGTCCGTTAATTTTATGCAGAACTATCAACATTTAATTAAAAGGATTAATAGAAAATAGGCCTAAACTATACAATTGACCCGTGCCCGAAAATTCAGATCAATCCGAATATATCTCTATGTTTTGGTACTGCACAACAATGAGGGTATATGATTGTGTTGCCCCAAAATATTGTAACGCAACGAAATGTAGGACCAACTCACATTTTAGTATTTAGTGTGTGAAAAAAAGAAAAAGCGTGAGCCAATCGAGATGTACAGGAGTTAGAATGAAGTCCGGAAATTTCACCAACGAGTAAAACACCAAACCGATGGCTTTACAATCTTAGTGTAGAGATGAAAATTGACAGATAATATAGCGTGTTGAGGATCTGCAAGGACAATGCTATGAAAAGCTTCTGGTATCAAATAGTGGCGGTGAAGAAGATACCCCAGAACCAATAAGAGATGATAGTATAGATTGTATACCACCTAGCCAATAGGAGGTCAGAATAGCAACCAAACGGCTGAAGAGCAATAAAGCAGCAGGAGCCGATGGGCTACCATCCGAACTATTCAAGGCTGGTGGTCAGACGCTGATCAATAGCATGCACCAGATGATTAGTATAATTTGGTTAGAGGAATGCATGTCCAATGATTGGAACCTCAACATCCTGTGTCCCGTGAACAAAAAAGAGACAAGACAACTATAGAGGAATTAGTATTCTTCCCATCGCAATCCAGTGTGGTGTGTGAACGACTGAAGACAATGGTCAATGACTTTATTGGACCACACCAATGCGGCCTGAGACCTGGCAAATCAAACAGTGACCAGATTTTCACTCTGCGCCAAATCCTGGAAAGGACACACGAAAAAGTCATCGACATATTCCATCTATTCGGACACTATAAAACCCTATCCGTTCAGAGGTGTTTAAAGCGATGTCTGCGTTCGGGATTACTGCAAAATTTATACGCCTATGCAGGATAACTTTAAATGGCACAAGGTCAGCAGTTAAATTCGGAAAGGACCCATCGGAGCCCTTCAATACCGAACGCGAATTCAGACAAGGTGACAGTTTGTCGTGTGATATTTTTAACATCCTTCTGGAAAAGTTCATACGAGACGTAAAGGCGAACAGAAATGGCGCTATGTACACAAAACAACACATCTTACTCGCCTACGCCAATGACATCGATATAATGGGTCGAACATTGCGAGTCTGCCATAGTGGGTCTGGCAGTAAATGGCGAGAAGACCATCCTGATGGTATCAACGCTCAAGACGTCCAGTAGACTCGGAACTTGAGAATTACAGCTTCGAGGTATTTTAAGATTTGATATACCTTGGTAACGTCATAAATAAAACAAATGACATCAGTTATGAAACATCATCATTTCCTTATTATCTTTTTTTAGAGACCCTGGTCTTATTTAAGGCACATTTTCATTGTACGGCAGTATTGTTCCGAATTGTAACTCTGCGACATCGTGCATCACTGTTGTGGTCACTCGTATGGAAAAGTTTAAAAAGTCAATGACCTCTAATACGATTCAATAATATTAAAAATACCATATATTCTTATCAAACTATAAATATGAGCAGAGAGAGAAAAAGAAATAATTAAGAAAATAGTAAAATAAACTTCATAAAAACAAATTAATTAAATTGATAAGGACACGATATAGGCCATCGACCACAGAGCAAAATGATGACCAAACAATAATAATAATAAGAGTATAGAAATATGTCGTACATTACAACTCTTTGATAAGGATATGTATTTTTTTAATTGCGTTTCAAGTGTAAGAAAAATAATCAATTTTCTGATATTTATTTAGAAGAAATGTAAAATTGAAAAAGTGTACCATCTGTCTAAAATCCTCACAGAAGACGTAGGTAAGGTTAGGTTTGGGGATATTACAAACTCTTTGATAAGGATATGTATTTTTTTAATTGCGTTTCAAGTGTAAGAAAAATAATTACTTTTCTTGAATCTTCTGATATTTATTTAGAAGAAATGTAAAATTGAAAATCCTCACCGAAGACGTAGGTAAGGTTAGGTTTGGGGATGTGCAGTCACTAGTGTACTTTGAGACCGTCCGGTCCATTGTGATCATCCATGAAAGATATGGAGAGAAAGGGGAAATAAAGTATAAGAAACTAATAAGAAGTATTAGGAGGAAGGCGGGAATAGTTCCGATGGCTATAGAAATTGGACACTTTCCCAACCACTTTAGGTTTCTAATGATGCTGTAGATTAAAGCAGTTTCCATAATTGAAAAAAAGCTTAGAGAATGTGGAAAGTTAGCACCCACTAGTCTGTGCCGTCTGTAGGCCAGAACTCGACAGCGACACAGGAGATGCTCAATTGCCTCCGTCTCCCCCTCGTCAGCACAGAGTCTGCAGTAATCAGTAACATCATGGTCCCATTTACTGGTAAAGGCCCTGATATTGCAATGACCAGTAGTGACTCCTGCCATTACTCTAATTTCAGTTTTGCTTAGGTTCAACAGTGGGTTTTTGCTCTTGGTTGACAGAGTCGGCCAGATAGATCTTGACACATTGCACCTAGATACGTTGTTACAGAGTTCATTGGCTAGTTCGTCGAAGAACTCCTCAAAATTCCGAAAAAGATGACAGATGGGTGGTTTCGATTGCTAGATCTGTAGATTGTGATCCTCGTCTAGATAATCCGTCTGCTTTTTCATTACCCATGATGTCACGGTGTCCCAGTACCCAACATAGCCGATAGCTGTGAGTGTTTTCAAAACTGCTCTGCACTCGAGGACGACCTCAGATTTGATATTACAGGATTTGATGGCCTTAAGAGCCGCCTGACTATCCACAAAGATAGTCACCAGTTGTTTGTTTACTTTTTGCAATTTTCTCCCTTAAGAAAATTCTTACTGAGTAAATGTTACTGGGAAAGTAAACGAACGAACCTATTATTGTAATGTTCAAATGAAAAATATGTGTTTTGACAGATAATAAAGATATTAGTTGTTCCATATGTACTACCTATTTATTGTACCATGGGCCATGGTAGATATATAACATGGTCCAATAAACAGATCGTGTAAGAGGCGAATATTATCGGCCATTTTAGTAGAAAATCCCTCAAACTGTTAAAAATCATGGCCCAAATAGCAGGTCATCCAAAAGACTAAATTTAGGAAATATACAACCATGTATCTATATTTTCAGTCAAAATTTGTTGTTGTGGCGAAAATGCCACTACATTCGATAAACATTTTGTGTATTTTTGAATAATTTTTAAACAAATGGAAAATTTTATCGATCCCTTTGTCAAAGCTAACTGTGGTTATTATTCTGAATTCAATATGTTTTAAAAAAAATTCAGATATCAGATGACCTTAATATATATATATATATATATATATAAACCATGATCCAATTAGCAGGTCGTGTAAGAGGCGAATATTGTCCGCCATTTTAGTAGAAAATCCCTCAAACTGTCAAATTTTTTGTTTACGTTTTCACACGATCAAGGTATATTTAATAAGGTAGCCGCATCGGGCCAGCTGTTGGACAAATAAATGTCAAAAATGTTGTTGTAATGTTGAACGAAAAAATTAAAAAACAAAATTATAAATGAAAATCTCCGAATTTCTAATAGCTTTTTTGGCAATACTTTTATTAACAGTTTCTACAATAATTTGTGTAAAAAAAAATTATTGGTCTTGCCAATCTGTTTTTTTTTTGGCAAAAGGAAAAAAGTGTTATCGTAGTAAAAATTACTAGATTACATATCAAAATACAACAACCGATGTTTGTTGTAGAAATTCGCCGATGCGGCTACCTTGTATATCTACCTTGCACACGATTAAGTCAAATTTTGACAGTTCTGGTGAAATCATTTCGCCTCCACCAATCATGGTGGTCAAGGTATATTTAATAAGATAGCCGCATCGGCTCAGCTGTTGGTGCAAATAAATGTCAAAAATGTTGTTGTAATGTTGAACCAAAAAATTAAAAAAACAAAATTATAAATGAACATCTCCGAATTTCGAAGAGCTTTTTTGGCAATACTTTTAATAACATTTTCTACAAGAATTTGTGTAAAAAAATCATTGGTCTGTTCCCGTACTGCAAGAATCTACTAGTTTTTACTATTTTGTTCGATATCATAAAGGAAAAAAGTGTTATCGTAGTAAAAATTACTAGATTCTTGCACATGTCAATCTGTTTGTTTTGGCAAAATATTTTTGACATCAAAATACAAGAACCGATGCGGCTACCTTGTATATCTACCTTGATGGTGGTTCTATTAGTTCATCTATTCGTCGATGAAAAAATCACGTGGTGTGATCCCGGTTTGTTCTGATCAGCTGTTTTCTATATTTTGTCTTTTCCCATTCGTAAATATTATTTCTTTGCTTTCTTTCTCCCTCTTTCGTAAACATGATGCTATTTTTGTCATTTGCTTTCATCCTTCATTCGTAAAAAGTCATTTGCCACAGCTAGAGTTTGTTCGAACACACAATCACCACCATGGATAATAAATGGTTTCAAGGATATTAACATTCCAGAAAGCCATTAGGATAACACTTAAATGTGTTAATTTATTTAACATTTTCTTGTGGAATTTCGAACAAAAAAACCTCTTCAAATTCATTCAGGCAAGTATGATAAGTCAGTGTGAATATTTTCCCTCACACAATTATAAAGGACGCACATATGACTAATAGTTACCCACTTTTTCTGTTTTATAGAAACCCGATCCATTGGATATTTGTGCAATATTTTTCAAACTCGAATGAAAAAAATAAACCCAGAACAAAATGTGTGATTCCATTCCAAATTGTCCATCACCGTCTAGTATAAACAACAAAAACAAACGACGCATTGTCAAAGCGCCAGAATTTGAAATGATAAGTGATTTTATTGATAGATATAAAGGATTGGCGATTGATTGTGAAATCGAGCTGCTGGAGAAATTTCCACAATTCGAAAAACTTACACTGAAAAGTATTTTGGAAACAATATATACAAATCGTATGCGACATCAATATTGGCGTTATGATGCCAATGCCAAGGCATTTTTAAAAATGTAAGTAACATCCATTAGGGACTATTTTAACTAATGAAGATTTTTTTTTATTTTTTCACCTCCACCCAAAAAAAGGTATGAGGAACGTTGCCAATTAACATATCCAATGGATCGTAATATATTACTTAACATTGCCCGGGAATCAGATATGGGACCAGTTATGATGTGTCGTTCATTGCTAAAGCTTAAATATAAAATTACCAATAAAGTGGAGTTGACCCAGCTGATACGTTCACCGCATTTAATTGAGGATCCCATGCTATCGGCTAATGTTGCTCAATGTATTTGTAGTGATTCCACCGATGGTCCTTTGATCGATTTAAAACGTAGGGTACTTGGCGAAGAATATGAATTTCGGGTAAGCAGAAACAAATTTACGACTTGTCATATTCCTTTATATTTTAATATTTTTTTCGGAAGAGGTACAGGTATTCAAAAACAATGAAAACAAAAATTCCAAGAAACAATGTCTTTGGTTCTGCAAATAAGTGTATAGGCGGTTCATCTGATTATTCGTTTCGATCAATTCCTTTATGATTGGCACCAAAAGTGTAGGTCGGGACATAAAATTCCATTTACAACAACCTGTCCGATACATACCTATCTTGCTTTATGTAGATTCGTACATGGAATGAATGGAGGCAGCTTTCAAATTTAATACTGCCGAGATCGAGGGGTTGAACAGGCATTAACAATGGTGAACCACGTTAAAATTAGTGGAGGATAATAACCGTCATGAATTGTGGCAATCCATTCTAGGTAATGACCAGAGGGAAGCAGGTCTGGTAGAGCAAATAGATAGTTGCACGTTTTGCCCGGTGAATAAGAATGACCTCATCAGAATATGAGGGAGAGTTTCACAGTCCTCCAGATGCAACATGTTTTGATGAATGACACTAAATGACAGCCCATTTTTCTCTAGGAACAGGGGTAGACTCTCGCAAGTCTACAAAGCGAAGGAAGCGTAGAGCTAGTTGACCGACCTACCTGCCGACAATAAACTTCAGAGGCAATCGGCCGCGGAGGCGATGGCCGACGATGGGGAATCTATCGAGACCCCAGCAAAGGACAACGGCTCAAAGTTTGGAAATGCCCGAGAAGTATCAGATGCAAAGCACTACAAACGTGCTGTTTCATATCTTCGCAAATTCGTGGGGCGAGACGCGAATATGCTTTCTGAGAGGGAGGTTCACCTCATCAAGGGCAAGTTGAGGTTCGTAAGGAAGTTCGAAAGAATTTAAACGTTGACCCCGACGGAATCTCTATGATTATGCTGAAACAGCTGGGTAAGTCAGGAATCAAGTATCTGGCAAAAATCCTGAATTCGCCGAATTGACAGCGCGGTACCAAAAACACATGTCCTTCTTGTGGCTTGGACCTCACGATACGCTGCATCTCCTTAACTGACCATCTAAACTCACTCGTCTGTTTCCATAATCTCTTTGGACGCAGCCGATACAAATTGCAACCTTGCACAACCGGAATAATGGAAAAAATACAACAAATATTTAGGCAGTTGCTACAACAACAACTCTTGTGGTATTTCTCCTCCCAGCGTTGTTCGACATCTTCATGATTCGAGGAATAAATCAAACCTTTGAACAAAACAATACCATTCCCGAAGTCAAAAAAAGCTAGCGTGATCCCGTAACTAAAGTTACCCTGTTTGAGGACATCGAGAATTCTTCCCTTCGGCCAAGTTTGGAACGATGGATAATCAATTATATTTTTTGGAGCCAGTCGTATTTGGAGTTCCGGAATAAGAAATACTAATTCCGTAGATTGAAGTAAAATATTCCCCAGGGTGGGTTGATATGTCTGTAGCTATTCAACCTTTATGAGAAATATTCGGTCACACTGCATACCACATGTACTCCGCAGTACATGAATATCCCTCTAAATGTACAGGTGAAGATATATAAAATTGGGACCTCTAACTACCCCAAAAAATCTAGAGAGGCTTGTGGTGGCTACCAATGTAGTTGATGGTCACTTTTACTTTTGTTTTTATCCCCTTACAGCGATTGTTCCATTGTTGAGAGCCTGCAAATATTAGTTTTAATGGTGGTAGCTTTGGCTGAGAACCTGGCCAGAACCAGAACCTGACCGAAGGTTTCGGTACCAAGGCAGTCAGGGACCCTAGGTCTGCGGATCTAGCCTGGCAGTTGGTGTTGACCCTTCGGGCAGCACCGTGCTGGATGTGGTTTATATCCATATTGCGGATAGAGTTTCGTCTTGTTGTGGAGGTGCATTACAGCTACCCTATTCACCTCCTGGACGTAAACTAAATCTAGAACTTGACGATGATAGAATAATTCCGAACTGTCCAACACCCAAAAATCCTGGGTGTTGCGTTCGATAACCTGCTAAATTTCTCCAAAAACGCAGCGTACATTAAATCTAGACAAGAAATAAGGTCCTGAAAGCGCTGACAGGAACCTCTTGGAGAAAAGTCAAGGAAACTTTAGTAGCGATATATAAGGCTCGGTCTTTGGCTTTGATGTCGAGCGTGGATCATTTACATGAGGAGACGAGGATATTGTCGATATGACAATATAATATGTTGCTTGCTAGACAGTTCCTTCAGGCCTGCCATCTACCTAGTCACCCTACGTTGTGATGCAGGATCCTCCCCCACAACATATCCGAAGGACATCAGTCACTTCGGCCCGGACATCTAGACATAATACCAACTGACGTCAACATATTGTGAATAGCGGCAGGTCTGAAGCGCCTACAGCTAGAGACATCTTCCCAGACCTTCCAGAACCATCTTAGCACAAGTCAGGTGTGGATGAAGCAACATTTTATATATATATATTTGTCTTAAAATTTTACCTTGGTTTACAATTAAAATCTTATTATTGCTTTTTTTTAATTATTGATTTTTATATTTTCCAGTTAAAACAAATGGCCACTAAGGCCGGTATGCATTTCTATGACGAAAATGATCTCAGACGATTGGGTTATGATAAGACACCCGATATTAAAATGTTATTGCCGTTTTTCTATAAGGGAGAAATTATCAATTGGATAGAAAGTAAAGCAAACTTTGGCTGTATAAAAACACATAAAACTTATATACAACAACAATTGAGTAGTTATTGTAACAGGTTGGTAAACCAAAAAAAAAAAAAAACCCATACTCAAATGTAAATTATTTTAATTTGCAAACTTTTTTCTTTTTTAGATTTGGTCCCGGAATTGTTATCTATTGGTTTGGCTATCATGAAGATATTGCCACATCAACTCAAAATGGTATAGGCATAACTGTACTCGACGACTTTCCTGCCAATGAAGATATTCAATTATTGGATTTAAGCGAAGCCTGTGAATCTTATGATACAACAACAACAACGACAAAAACTGATGATCCAAAGCAGTTACAAATTACATGATATTTAAATAATATGAATAGTTGGATGATACCATTGTTTCACTTAGTTAGAATACTCATTTGACTTATTTGTAGTTATAGATATTTTTATTTAACATACAAACGAATAATTTTTTTTGTTGCTCACAATGACCTTTTTTAAAATTCATCTCATAAAAAATGTAGTTGTTAAGTATAAAAAAAATGTTACAAGCAAAGTAAAATGTTGTATATTTAAAAGAAAACTCAAACACACATTAAATCAAAGTGTTTCATTTTTTATTTACAAAGGCCTATATAATAAAAAATAAGGTTATATTTTATGTATTTATATATTGTTTTTGTATTTTTGAAGATAAATTAAAATTAATCTAATAATTTTAAATGGCATACACCCTTACATAATCCACTTCCAAGGAAGGTTGTTCCCATGTCCTGGACCATTCATTGCGTTTTTCATTGAAACGTAATGCCGCCTTTGGATCGGTATTCTTCCAGGGTTTATTTGCAACATCCAAAGGAAAATCACCATGTCCACCAGCTGACAAGCCCAAGGTTATGAAAAACTAAGAAACAAATAAGATTATAACCTAAAATAAAAAAAGTTTTTATATTTTTTTACCATATCATCTAATGGCGCATCATCTCCACCCAAACTCCATGCCGGTTCTTGTATCGAATTTTTAAAATCCGTTTTAATACGACCATATTGATAACCATCGACAGACAACAGTAACTCTGTTGGTTTCCAAATCAATGAGTAGACATGATAAGCATTGCCAAAATGTTCTTTAGCACCGTTAACATCATCCAATGTTGTGTTGGCCATAAATTGATGTCTAAGATCGGCATCAGAATTAACAATGGCACCACCATATAAATACGAACCATCAATATCTAAACTATTCCATTTCAGCTGTGTGTTGCCACGAACAAAAGCAATGCGTATTTCACCGCTTTTATAACCGCTATTACCATATCGCTTTGCATTTGGCTGGAGCATCAGTACTGCAAAATAGTTCCAGAATAAAAAGTTAAGATTCAATATTGAATTGTAATAATCTGTAATAGGTCTTACATGGTACCAACCAATCTCCTTTGGGTACTTTTGCCCTTACTTCAATCCTTCCATATTTAAAATTGAAAAATTTCCTTGTATTTATACGGCCCGATACTATGGGTGGTATATAGAAATTGGGCCTAGCTTGTAGATGACATTTGTCATATATGTCGGTACATCTGAAAATCAAAAGATGGAGAATAAAATAAAATTAAAATAGGACAAGTTCTGGTCCACAGTAGAATTATTTCATTGAAAATAGGCGTTCTTTAAATCAGTTCCCCACTACTCGTCTCTAAATTTGCCTGAAATTATATACACAAGTGGTCGATATTTGACTTCCGGAGTGACAACTGCTGTAGAGATTGACCCAGCTGATTCAGGCACCTGCTTCGCGCTGCTACTTTCGGTTTATGCACCAACATGTGCCCAATTGTCACAATCTTAGATTTCGGTTTCGGCACTTCAGCAGAGGTTGGATTTCAGGCACCTGCTTCGCGCTGCTACTTTTGGCTTATACACCAACATGTGCCCAATTGTCATAACCTTAGATTTCGGTTTCGGCATCTCGGCAAAGGTTGGATTTCCAGAGAGAGTTTGTGCTTTATAAGCTTTCATAGAGGCCTTTTTAAGGGGTCTCCTTCGACAGTCTCTTACCTTCAGTTTTCGTGGATGATGGTTTTAGGGATTTCTCAGCGCTCAGTTTACCCTTGCGGGGTACTGAGGGCTCAGACGACCCAGTAACCAACATCCTAGATGTGCTAGGGCCACTAACAGCCTTCTCCTCTTTTGGAGAGTTCACCGTGGTGGTCTCCACACGTTGTTTAGAAATCCTTTTAATCAAGAAAACCCTCGCAATAGCGTTCGAATAGTCCCTGGAGAGCTTCCGAATGAATTTGAGGTTCCTCTTGATCAAAGGGAACTACTTATCTGATCAACCGGTTGCAGTAGTTAACCGCCCTCCGGTACATATTCTTGACAGAGATCTCTTTGTCAGTGGAGCGTCTAACAGTTCCCTATTCTGATGATTGCGATGGGAAGCTCATCAGCCCCAGTCTCCGCTTCGACGGCTAACTGCCTAAGAAGTCTCGAAATTTCACTACAGCCCGTGGAGATGGAATTAGGATCCTCTACCTCGCTCGGGTTAACACCCGGGCTCCATAGAAGTTGATTTTAGTGAAGATTTGAGGTCGGCCATGGCATAGCCTCTTACCATATTAAGGACTCGGCAACTAAGCTTGAATAAACTTGTTGAGGCGCCCAGGTATCAACAATGCTCCGTTCTAATACAGTCGGACCCTGGTTTCAGCCTTGTTAGGAAATACAGCTACTTCCACAGATCTTATGGAGTAAATTGAGAGGGTTTAGCAGGGCAATTGAATAAGTGCAGTGTGGGGCCTGTACCACATGCTGTGCAGACATCCTGTACGTGGTCATCAATCTGTGCCCAATACAAATTAAGAGGACTATGTCATCCTGAATGTAATTGAGCCAAAACTACTCTGGTTTGCTTTGTCAGCTGACGTTTTTCAGTTGCGATGTGTGTTGGCTGAGCTCCGAGGAAGGCATTCACTCTGTATTCATTCAGCGCTGCGGCGACTGTATCAGTATGAATACTTAGAAGCAACTTGATCTACAGGCTCATTTTATAACGTTGGACCTCTCTCTAAATTATGCATATCCTTCCTTACACGCCTGGTTCTTGATGGTTAGGATTATTGCCCTTGAAGCACCCAATTATTATGCTGACATAGGGGAAAGATCTTCGCCTCCTCATAAAGATGGTCCACTGATGTCATGTTTTCAGGCCAGCGTTTCTGACAGGTATGAATACTTGTCCTTTGCGTAAGACTAGTTGCGCAGCATTGCTAGCCAAAGTCTTGATCAAAAAAGGCTTCCTTATCTGCGCCCCAAGCGCTAACAGTAAGGAGGACCCTGTTCCTTCTTTTCAACAATTTGAACATTCTGTCGGATGTGACCGCGAGAATTTTGGGATAGTTGGTTGTCGGAATTGTGTGCCCCTCGACATGTACAGTCAATGGCGTTCTAATCCTCACAGTCCATGTGGTACACAATGTGACAAAAGATATCGTGTCGGATATTTTCATATTCCGCGCGTGAAAGAAGACTGCTAAATCGGCTATGTCGGCGCCCAACATTACACATAAGTACTCAACTGTAGGAAAAGGCGTCGGGCATGATTATACAATCATCTGCATACGTAACGGCCTCAATTCGCTCTGGAGGGCGTGAAATACCGTAAAGGTTCCGGAGATATCACTTCGCCCTAAGGAACTCCCTTCTTCACTCTACGGGGTTTGGACTTATTATTCCGCAACTCTACGTATGTCTGGCGTCCACACATATAATTGATTATCCAACGATTCAAACATGGCCGATGAGAAGTGTTCTCGATATCCTCAAACAGAATGGTATGATTGACTGATTGATCAACGCCGTTCTATGGCACATCCTCTTCGGCTTTATTCCTCGACTTATTTGTGTGACGATGGCGTACAACGCTATTGTATTTTACTACAACAAGATGATCTGCCACTGGACAGCATTCCCTAATTTTGGGAAGGAGTAATACCTCAAGGGTTTTCGATACTAGCGACAATTGACCTTTGCTTGCGTTCTTACCTTGATTCAGAAGCGGGAAAACCATTTCAAGTTGGTGGTTATTAACGAGTTAAGGGGTTTTTCACCTTTGCCATTGAGATATAGTCCTTGTCCAACGCTTTAGATGCTTTAGTGGTTTGAATAACATTTGAAACATCATCCCATCTGTCACCGTTAAATGTGATATGGAGTTCAACAATTTAACTGTTGCCCCCAGTTTACTCACATCGGTTCCAATGTTGCAACATTCAGATGATCTAACCATTTATTCCGCTTATGCTCCACGACTAATTTGATGACCTCCAACGAGAGTTCCCTGACTTTGGGATCTTTTGGGTGAGAACGACTGAGTTCATCATGCTTTTTCCCCAGTCCAACTTTCTCTGCTGGGAAATCAGATCTCAGTTTGGGTATTCGACCAGCAAAAAACTAGCAAATCTCGTCAGATCAGTGATACTTTCGCATAAAATGTGAATGAGAACCTATAACTCTTCTTTCCATGGGGTTGAGAACGACTTAGCCGTTGTACAAAGTTTACTCACACCGGTTCCAACGTTGCAACACATGTTTCTACATGAAGGAGTTGCCAGATCATAACAGAGATTGAATTTTCCAATACACTTAACTTTTTTCTGTTTATATCGCGCTTTATGTGATAGGCTAAGAAATTTCCGAACTTCCCTCGTATGTCCGTCGGCCTATCTGTCTGCCCATGTTAAATTGTGAACGAAGTACAGGTTTCATTTATGATCCGAATGAGATACAATTTGGCACAGCCTACTTACTTGGCCCAAGGACAAGCCCTATTTACAAAATCGGCTCACTTTTAGCTTTAGTTCCCATATAGTTCACACAAGTCAGATTATCTGACCGATCAGATTTATATCCTTGTATTATTGTACCATGGAATAGCAAAGTCAAGACAATTGGGTTGAAAAACAAGCCCAAATGCCAAAAAGTGAATATAGGCTACACCGAAACTTCAGCCAATATTCATAAAGGAGATTTTATACCCAAATAGAATTCGAAATATCTCATCCTAACTCCCCAAAATACCGAATGTATGTATTCCGAGGTGTTGCAAATTCAAAATTTTTTTTCCTTTTTTTCAAATAAATTACAGTTAGAAATTTCACTTCTTTCACTTACCTACTGCCCAAATTAATATTATCTATATTAATCGATCCGCCATACAGCGTTGGAGTTATTCTCAATATACCATTATCCACATACGCAGTTCCATTGTACATAACAAATTCATCATCTGTCGTCCTTATGGGTATACGTACTTCATTTGTCCAACGATTCTCATCAAGGCGGGAATCAAAAGTCTCTTCAAAGAGCAGATCACCCTTACAATGTTTATTATTTCCATGGGGCAATTCCGTTTGTGAGGCATAACAATTTTCGGTCTGTTCGGTAGTAGCATCTACACGATTATTACCAACTTCAATTGGAGATGGTGGAGGTGATGCTGTCGTGGTCGTCGTTGTGGTTGTTGTTGAAGACGTTGTAATGGCCATTATATTCGAATCACCCCGTCGTATGGCAGCAACCGAAAATGGTCCTTGTTTATCACGAAATATAACACGATCATGTTGTATGGCCAACCAAATATAAATAATATCCATATCGGAGAGGGAACGTGTAAATTCATGTGACCACTTGTTGTCTCTGGGCATACCGACCAAACCGGATAGCTGGCCAGCTTCGAATGATTTAAAGGCTTTGTTGATGTTGACATTGAAAGCCACCCATTTGATGTCGGGATCATCTGGTGAAACAAGTGTTTATTTTTTAGAATATTTTCTTTATCCTTCTTTAAATAAAAACTTACTTGGTATCGAGGCTTGAAACTTATCATCAAACACATCCAATTTTACCGTATCCACAGTATAGCCATAATTAAAGACAAATCGATTTAAAAAATATAAAATGCCAACAATTAAGTGCAATTTATTCATTTCTAAGAAGAAGCGCACATCAATCTGACCGTAACCTTAGCTTGATCTTATTTGAGAAGAGACTGCTCGTATCAAGAAAGCATCAATGTATAGATTTGCTTTCTTGGGATTTCCATCAGTGTTATCAGGGTGAGAAGAGAATAAGTTAGCAAATGCTGCAGAGAGAGAGAGAGTGAGTGAGAGGAAGAGTACACAATTGTAATTATATAAACGAAGCCGAATACGTGATACCCTATATAAATTAATTTTATAGAATCGATTATACGAATGATGAGATATTATGGAAAACTTAGGGCTCACATCCTATTTTGGTATTGCCTCCATTTAAAGTTACCTTTCAAAATTCGTTATTTTGGCGAGTCGAACGGGAGATATACTGATGTCAGGTAAATGTTACCATCCGCTGCTTCAGTACTGTGGCGTCCGGTGTTGACAACTCTGGGAAGAGGATAAAGCATACATTTTTGTGATATATTATGCAGGTTCTCGGATGAGAACCCGTATTTGCATGGAAGAGTTGGTAATTTATATTGCTTAATCCAGAGACCTTGTTTTTAATTGTCCAAGGTTCCTAGATCAGTCCGATGTGTCTCGCTCCGATGGAGTTTCAAATTCCAGCATTAGATAATCCTCTCTGAAACCGCATCTATCTAAGTCAACGTTGACGTTGGTTTGACTCGGCTTTCTTTTATTATCGGTCGACGGGGAGCTCTTTTTCTTTTTGACAGTCGCTTGCTCACAGATTTGACAGTCGCTTTCGCAGGAAACTTCGAAGCCAATGTAATGAGGCGTCAACTTATTGTTCCTTAGGTATCGACCTTTCGATAAACTCCTTTCAAACCAAAATAATGAGAGGGCAACTCCGTAAATGTTCCCAGATGACCAATCAATAACCATCATTATTGCAGATCATCGGTATCGTACGCATCGGTAGCTGCTAAGGAGGACAATGAAAATCATACCAAGTGGTAAGTCTTCGCAGAAGCCAAGACAAGGGGGACTTTAACTCGACAAAAGTGGGACCGTAAGCAAAGGTTTGCCATCATTGGGAGTTTTTGGTTGCTACTTGACCGATATCTGAAGTTTTTTTTTCTATTGCTTCCTATCGTGGTTGACAATAAAATCTAACTGTTTGGAAGGATTCTCCTATATAAGTGTGTTAAGGCCATAAACTTCGAGGATAAGGAGTCAGCAGGCCTTCAATCATCTTAGACTCCTTTAGAAGGGTAGTAATCAAGCATTTATATATGCTGATAAGATCCCGAGCAGAATGGTGGCATCTATATTGTTCCTACAACTTTTTGGAACTGGAGCAGATGTAAATGAACATAAACCTCTTTGGGAGAGTATTAATCTAATAAATGAACCTGTTGATTGAATCCCGTGCGTCTTGGTAACCTCTGTCTGCTCCCTACCACCTCGTTTTAAAAAGAATGCAGAGGTTGGTCGAGAAGTAGAACTTCGGTCTTCACATTGTTTATACGCGAGCTTAATGAGTACTGGGGACTGATTTCAAATAAGCCACGGGCATAGCAGGAGGCGAGTTTCCGAGGAGCAGATTTATTTTATCCAAATTCGGTAAATCGATAAAATTGCGCTGTATATCGAACTCATTATCCTGCACCACTGCCCTTTTAAAATAACATAAACCAATTTTCTGGGAATCATAATAGGTTATTACAGAACTAGATTTCATATTTTAAAAAAGTACGTTAGTAAAGTAGACTACTGTCGTCTATGTGAAGATAATATGGACCCAAATATACTGTTGAAAATATACTTAGAAACACGTTTTTGGGTCGATTTACGTGTCCGTTCGGGTTTACAAGTACAGATCGCTTTTAATACCCATTTGCGATTCGAGTCAATTCATTTAATTAGCACAAAGAAGAATACAAATTGGCGAGAATCGATTCAGATTCAGAACACTGAGGACCTAACGCACTGAATTGAGCCATGGAGGAAGCGTGTCAAGCTTTTTAGTCGGTTCAGATTTAAATGTAACTTCCATTTATTATTTCATCTGATTTCTTATAAATGGCACCGAAAAGACACTAAGTATTTCCAATTGACACGAAACTTTCCCTAGCGTATAGAATTGAGTCTACAATGATTAGCAACAAGTTTGCCTTTAATCGGTTCCGATTTAGATATTGCTCTCATGCATAACTTCTACTGACTAGAATTACGTGTGCTGAGTTTCGTTCTAATCGGTTCAGATTTCTATATAACTCCCATATGCAATTCAACCGTTTTTTTATGAATGGTGCCCGATATACTCTACGTCCGACCAACACGAATCTTTAAGGTGTAAAGAAGTCTACCATTTAATAATAGCGACAAAAGCCGAGATAATTTTTACAAACCCGAATTGAAATCTAAAAAATCAAGTTTCCGAATATCATACCTGTTCACATATTACCAACACAATGCAATACACCTCGATTGTACAGTGCATCTTTCAAGTTCTGACTGAGTACACGCTCCAAACAAAACAAAAAGAAAACAAGTTTTGAGAGATCATAACTTTCTGATTCATACTCACAGGTACAATATTTTTTAGTCTGCCAGAATTTCTTATCAGTGAAGCTCAGAAACACGGTTGTGCGATTCAGTTCGGGGTTTTTGTTTGATTGCAAATGTCTTCCTTTTGTTTTTGGAAAATACGACTACTACTACTATTATTTGTTGTCTTGATTATAAAGACAGCATGTTGGTCATATGAGACACCCAACGTAAAATTGGAACCAATAAATAATGGATTTTCTTTAAGTTTGTCAGGTATGTCGGCAAGTATTTTCCAAAGTTTATTCGAACATAAAAAAGAAAAGAACAATTAATAATATCCAACAAAAGATTCAATTTGGGTATAAAGAAATTTGTAAATCCCCTCCAATTGATGACAAACATACGCAAAGAAATCATATATATGTATGTTTGTGTGTATACAAACTGTTCGGCGCCAATTCATTGATTATTCGGAATGAATTTTTGTTTATAATAATAATCGTTTTGGATGATTGCTTTTGATTTTGAAATTATTCAAGAACAATTATACCAGTTTTTAAAGGGTTATTGAATTTGGAATCATGATTTCCAAAACGAAGATTTCTACTAATTTTGAAATTATTAAGGAACTATTGAACGACATTTTAAAAGACTATCAGATGTTGATCTTTCCATCTAATTCTTGGCCTTCCCATTCTGCGGAAGCCATCAGTAGGCTCGCTTTTATATGTCTTTTGTGCTGGGACATCCTCATTCATTCTCAACGTAGTCTCTGCAGCTTGGTCCGTCCGACTATGTCGATGTCCGAGAATAGATGGTACAACTCATGGCTCATTCGGCGGCGTCAACGCAGATCGGTCCATAGATCTTTAGGAGAAATTTTCTCTCAAGCACTCCAAGAGCTGCCACATCTGCTTGCGTAAGTTCCCATGCTTCAGATCCATATAACAGCACGGATAGTATCAGCGTCTTGAAGTGTGTGAGTTTTGTCTGGCGGGAGGTGGCCTTGTTTCTAAACTATTAACTTGGACCATCTGATGGCCCTCTCCCTCTCCGAATTTCCAAACTGATGTCATTAGTTTTATTTATGGCGGTACCAAGGTATATAAAATCGTTCACTACCGCGAAACTGTAGTTGACAAGTTCCACAGTTGGTTCGAGTATACTGGACGTATTGGGCGTGGATACCATCAGCTTGGTCTTCTCGCCGTTTACTGCCAGACCCACTTTGGCAGATTCCTTCTCAATTTGTTCAAAGGTGGCTGTCATGGATGGATGTCATCAGCGTAGGCGAGTAACATGTGTTGTTTGGTGTACAGAGTACCATTTCCGTTCACCTTTGCGTCTCATATGACATTTTCCAGCAGGTCACACGACAAACTGTCACCTTGTCTGAAACCTCGTTCGGTATTAAAGGGCTCCGAAAGGTCCTTTCTGACTTTAACTGCTGACCTTGTGTCACTTAAAGTTATGCTGTATAGTCGTATTAATTTTGCAGGAATGACAAAAGTACTAATCAGTTAGTACATTGTCCTGATCAGCGTCTGAACACCGGCCTTAAATAGTTCGGCTAATAATCTATTCGCACCTGCTGCTTTATTATTATTGTCACATCTTGGTTAGATGGTATACACTGTATACCGTCATCTCTTATTGGTTCTGGGGTATCTTCTTCACCGCCCCTATTTGATACCAGAAGCTTTGCAAAATTCTCCTTCCAGATCCTCAACACGCTGTCTGTACCTGTCACCAGGTTTCCATCTTCATCTCTAAGGAGGATGTGCCTGCGCCAAAGCCTTCGGTTTGGTGTTTTATTCGTTTTTAAAATTTCCGGACTTCTTTCTGACTCCTGTACATCTCGATTTTCTCACGATCAAGTTTGTCTTCTTCTTTTTTCTGAAAATACGTGTCTCCTCTCTCCTTTCCCCCCGATAATTCACAATCGCATTACGTGTTGCTACTGTCTGATTGCCCTACACGCTGCGTTTTTCACATCAGTAGCATTACGACACTCCTGATCGTACCATGGGTTTCTTGATGGAGGTTTTTGGTACCCATGTGTTGCTTTTGGTGCAGTTTCTATGGAATGGTTAATTCTTTCTTTTTAGCAAGGACGTGTCATGCTCATTTATAACTGCTAAAGCAAAATTACGGCCTATTCGGTCCGAAAATGTCCGTATCAGAAAATATTTGAAAACAAACATGAAACACGTCATTGTAGTCCTAATCCAGAGCCTTATCTAAAATGTATTATAAATAGTACAGACATTATGTCTTTTGGGCGCCATTTACATAAAATCTGATGAAATTATATATGAGAACAGTATATTGATCTGAACCGATTTAATATTAACTAGTCTCACATCTTTCTACGAACAGACATAGTGGAAGCTATTTTCAAAACTGAACCGATTTTTTATCTCTGCAGTTTATGTGGTAAAAAATTTGACGAAGATTTTCATATTCCTCGCATGACAACGAGACGACAAGATTTGGTAGAGTTCTTGACGGTAGGCTCGAGATATTTTCCCTGCCTCACTCTATGGAGTTGGAACATCTTATTCCGGAACTCCACTTCAACTAGCGTTCATACATATAATTTATTGCCCATTGTTTCAATCTTGTACGAAGGGAAGTGTTCTCTCCATAACGTGCCAGTATGACATGATTGATTGTATCAAAAACTTTCGGTGGGTCAAGCGCAACCAACTCTGTTCTATTCCCGGCTTGTTCCAGCTGGGTTTTGAAAATCTTATTCCGGAACTCCACTTACCACTGGTGTCCATACATATAATTTATTATCCATCGCTTTAACCTTGGTCGAAGTGAAGTGCTCTCAACTTTTAACGTTTTCAACGTAAAGGCTCTTGATAGATCAAGAGCTATCGACAATGTTTGATGACAGAGCCTATTCCGGTTTAGTCATACAACGCTGTTGTTGTACTGAGTTGCGTACAGAAAATATAATAATAATCCGCAACTGGATAATTTTCCCTAATACTGGAGAGAAGTAATCCTCAAAACTTTTCGCTACTGGCGCCCAACATGAGGCCTGCACGATTCACCTTCGCTAGTACAGTTGACAGACTTCAGAAGTGGGACCACCTAGCATATTGTTAAGACTTCAGGAAGGATGAACGAATTTCATCGACAAATTAAGATACTCGACTTATATAGCGGTTTTAGCATTACCATAGATATTCCGCCAGAAACAAACGATTTAGTGCTATGGAGGCCTCTTTCAACATCACCCAGTGTAGTGGATACCTTCTCGGCGGGAATAGATCTTATATGACGTAGTAGCTCGGTTAAAATATCTCGCGCATCTCTTCGGGTAAGTCACTGATTCGTCGTTAAATGTCACTAAGGCCCTATCATCCATATTTTCCTGATTAGAGAGTAACTTGACCGTTGTCCCCAATTTACTCACATCGATTCCAATGTTGCATCAATATTCAGACGCTTCGCCCATGGATTCCCAAATCTTCTTTCCAAAAAGGATAAATATTCCCCAATTTTCGGGATCGACCCCATTAGCCTATATTATGTTAACTTTTTATAGCCGAGTTGACTTGTATTTTTGGTTGTAAATGGGTAGCAAATTAGTCTAACAAAAATATTGGTTCATTTTCTAAAGTAGTCCCAATACAGCGGTACCTTCCATATTTTAGTAACCTCGCTATTTTGAGGATCTCAGTTATCTTTTTCAAAGATCACGCTTCTTTTTCGGTATAATCAAGGTCCTTGGACTTTCCAGTTTACATTTATAGTACGTTTACATTTAACCGGATTTCGTTAAACCAGTGGGTTCCAATTATAAATTCCTTAGCATATATGTGAAATAAATCCTCATAGAGTATGTTAACCCGGTAAAAAGATCTAATGGATATGCCGTTTTATTTTAAATATCACATACGATCTTTTCCTGGTTATATATTATTCGAGAGCAGTTCGGAAAGTTCTTAGCCTAGCACAAAAAACGCTGTATAAACAGAAAAAAGTTAAGTGTTTTAGAAACGTCCATCTCTGTTATAAACAAATGTTAAAGTTTTTTCGATCTGGCAACCCATTCATATAGAAACAGGTGTTCCGCAATTTTTTTACAATGAAAGCAAGCATTTCTAATTTCTTCCATTGTAATGCCTTTTTTGGAATACTTGTTTCTATATGAAGGAGTTGTCAGATCGAAACAAAATTTAATATGTGTTCTTTTTTCTGTTTATACTGCGCTTTTTGTGCTAGGCTAAGAACTTTCCGAACTGCGCTCGTATATATGACAGGGGTCCACCATATGTAATAATGTGTTTGATTTCATTTCCTCTTTTCAGATGACCCAGGTATTCGCAAAGTCATTTATTACATAAAAATCAATGACAAATGTCCGGGATATATGGATTTAGTTTTGGAAGGAAATCCTGTTTGGAAAATAACTCAGACCTCGAATACTCCCCTCAAAGATAAGGATAAAATAAATATTTCAATATTGGTGGACCACAATGGAGAGGCATATAAAGACAAACAATATATTGTTGTGGGTGAAAATAATAATGTGGCCATAAAAACCCCTAACAATACTCCCACAACACCATGCGGTGGTATTAGTGGTGATGAGAAACCCCAACCTCCCACCGAAGTGTGTGAACCATCTCAAACTATAGTCAAGGGTCTGAAAAAGATTTGCAAAAATCAACTAATTTTTGAAGAGAATTTCAACGATGCCCAAATCGATCTCTCCAAATGGTCATTTGGTATACGCAACCTGTTGACGGCACGTCAAAACGAGGAATTTGTTTTATACGATAATAGTCATGAGAATATTTTCATCGCTGATGGAATTTTAAATATTAAACCCACCTTTACACAAGTCAATGCCAGAATGGCGGCCATTGATTTTGGTAGCCGATGTACTCCCGTGGAAAATAACATCAAAGAATGTAAAGCTAGCACACAATTCCCATTCAATTATGTACCACCCATTAATTCATCGAATATTAATACAAGAAATACTTTTCAATTTAAATATGGTCGAGTTGAAATACGAGCGAAATTACCAAAGGGTAATTGGTTATTGCCATGTAAGTATTAAGAGTTAGGGGGGAGACACATTCGAGAATTCTTATGTTGCCATCGTTTATTGTAAATAAAGGATAAAAGGGTCCAAACTCAAATTTGCCTTGGATACTCCTTTAAAAATTCGCATTTAATAAAATTCAAATAAAAGAAGCATGCCTGAAATCCTAGTATGTGTATCCCCCTTTCCAAATTTGTATTTTTGCTTGATTCAAACTTATCTATTCTCTAGATATAACCTTGGAAAACTATGGTACATTTCAACGCAGACAAATGCGTATTGCCTTTGCCCGTGGCAATGAACAGCTGTTGATTACAAATCCCATGAAGGATATTGGCGGACGTCGTCTATACGGTGGTCTTGTAAAATATTTTGACCAATACGAAAACAATCTTAAAGAATTATATGCCAATGAACATTTTGGAAATGATTTTCATATTTACACCCTGACATGGACAAATAACTCAATAGCTGTTAGTGTTGATGGTCGAACATATGGTGAATTTCAGGAAAATCTAAATGAATTTAATGATGAGGTAAGATTTGGTATTTTTACTTTAAAGAAATCTAATAAATATTTTTCTTTTTTATAGTTTTTCATATCTGTTGGTGTCTCGGCGGGTGGTCATCTGGAATTCCCAGATACTTTAGTAAATCCTGAACACAAGCCATGGAAAAATACATCACCCAAGGCTATTGGTATTTTTTGGCAAAATATCAAGGATGGTCTTATTTCATGGGCTGATGACAATCAGACAATGCGTATAGATTATGTCAGGGTGTATGCGGTTTAGTTAACTTATTAATAATATAGGAACTTTATTATAAAATATGTGTTTTATTATTATTTTGTGTTAAATTAAATTACCATAAATCTTAGAATTTTAATATTTTCTAATTAGAATGTGGATCAGATTGGGTGACGTATGGGATGATAGAAATTAAGCAACGGCTCTGATTGCTTTCACATGACGAAGCCCAGGCTTATCTTGGTCCCTCTTTCATCTCAATTGTGGACACTGACCTCCCCACGGTGTCACCCGGGGTAACTATTTTCATCGTCCATTGAATAGTCAGCTAATATGTGCCGCGAGTTCACCCATAATAACTATAAAAAAATGGGTTGAGGCGTCGTTTAGTTGCCCACATTCGGAAAAAAAATAATACTATGAAAAATCAAGGAAACAGAAAACCAAACCCCCCTAATGTTGACGACCCCCGCAATCGTATAAGGGACCACGATCAGCGAATCTGCACTTGGAATGTGCGCACGTTGTACAAAACAGGCATAGTTTTCGCTTAGGGGGGTGTACTCAAGAAGTACAAAGCCGATATTATTGCCTTACAGGAAATGCGATGGAAAGGGACTGGCGTAAGTAAATCAGATGATTACGATACGTGAATTTGGCTGCGGATTTATGGTTAATAGGAGAATAAAAGACCTCGTTTCCAGATTCACTCCAGTAGACGAGCGAATTGCTATAATCCGCATAAAAGGAAAGTTCTTCTACATCAGTCTCATTTGCGCCCATGCTCCGACCGAATATACAGATGAACAGACCCTGGCCATGACATAACAATTCTGCTAGGAGATTTTAATGCAAAAATCGGAAGGGAACATATTTTCAGAAAAAAGAATCAAGGACAAGTAAAGCGTGAGCAAATCGGGATGTACAGGATTTAAAATAAAGTCCAGAAATTTTACCAACGAGTAAGACACCAAACCGAATGCTTTGTCGCAGGTACATCCTCCTTTAGAGATGACGATGGAAATCTGGTGAAAGATACAGATAGCGTGCTGATGATCTGCAAGGAGTATTTTGAAAAGCTTCTGGTATCAAATAGTGGCGGTGAAGAAGATACCCCAGAACAAATAAGAGATGGCGGTAGAGAGTTATTGAACGAAGAATCTGTTCTTGTTGACGCGGATATTGTCCTCGGAGTGAAAGCACGTCTTTATGTTTTGCTGTGCATTTACACACTAAATATCACAATATGACTTAACCTATCATAGACTAATGTGCAAAAGAGAGAGAGAGAAAGAGTACGTGAACCCATCTGACAAACACATGGAGTGGACACACACATTTCTTTATCTCACATGTGGCAAGCACGCTACACATTCTTATGAGTCTGTTCATTATGCGAAACCCATGTTCGCTACGTGAACAAGAGTGTTTACCACCTAGCCAAGATGAAGTCAGAGTAGCAATCAATCGGCTGAAGAACAATAAAGCAGCAGATGTCGATGAACCAGCTGAACTATTCAGATGATGGTCAGGAGCATGCACCAGCTGATTAGTACAAGTTGGCTAGAGGCACTGAATGTCCAATGATTGGAACCTCAGCATCCTGTGTCCCGTGAACAAAAAAGAAGACAAGACGACTATAGGCAATTAGTCTTCCTCCCATCGCATATAAAATGCTATCCAGTGTGTTGTGTGAACGACTGAAGCCTGGTCAATGTCATTATTGTACCATACCAATGCGGCTTAGGGCCTGGCAAATCCACCATTGACCAATCCCAAAAGATCCACGAAAAACATATCAACACATACCACCTATTCGTAGACTATAAATCCCATTCGGCAGCCCTCTCCGTTCGGAGGTGTTTAAAGCCATGTCTACGTTCGGCATTCCTGCAAAATTAATACAGCAATGCAGGATAAGTTTAAGGGGCACAAGGTCTGCAGTTAAAGTCGGAAAGGACCTATCGGAGTCCTTCAATACCGAACGAGAATTCCGACAAGGTGACAGTTTGTCGTGTGATCTTTTTAACATCCAGCTGGAAAAGGTCATACGATGACATCGATATAATGGGTTGAACATTGCGAGCGACAACAGCCACCTTTGAACAAATTGAGAAGGAGTCTGCAAAAGTGGGACTGGCAGTAAATGACGAAAAGACCAAGCTGATTGTGTCAACGCGCAAGACGTCCAGTAGACTCGTACCAACTGTGGAACTTGAGAACTACAGTTTCGAGGTAGATAAAGATTTTATATACCTTGGTACCGCCATATATAAAATGAATGACATCAGTTTTGAAATTCGGAGAAGGATTGCGATGGCCAACAGATGCTACTACGGTCTAAGTAAGCAGTTTAGAAACAAGGCCACCTCCCGCCATACCAAACTCACACTTTACAAGACGCTGATACTACCCGTGCTTTTATATGGATCTAAAGCATGGGTACTTGCGCTCTTGAACCACGAGCTTTACAATTTATACGCAGACATCGACATATCCAGTCGTATTGAGCTGCAGCGACTACTATGGCTAGGCCATGTTGTGCGAATGAATCAAAATGCCCCAGCTCAAAAGGCATATAAAAGCGAGCCTACTGATGGTTCCCGTAGGCTACGAATCAGACGGAAAGACCAAGTAGAAAGCAACATCTGGGAACGTGGTCTTTCAAATTGGAGGAGATGCGCACAAGACCGACGCGCTTAGAAATCTTTTTAAAGCTCGGCTTATGGAACAACCGTTCTGTAAGAAGCCAGCTAAGTAATTAAGTAAGTATGACAAATGTCGTCTCTATAGGGCAAACCTTGGAAGTTTGGTGCGCCATTTATTTAAAATCAGATGAATATATGAGGGCTATATCTACATTTGAATCGATTTCTATAAAACGATATTCTAGACTGACTTCGGTATACTATGAAAAATGTCGACTTAATCAGACAAACCCTGAGAGTTTGGTGCACCATTTACCGTAAATCGGACTTAAATATATATGGGAGTTATATCTAAATCTAAACCAATTTTCACCTATTTCATTAGGTTTCATCTTTCGGCCAAAAAAATTAGCTGAATCAAATTTGCATATTTTTGTATCGATTAAGACCAAACACAACTTCCTAGTAGAGCCATATTGTTAAAGATCATTTCTAATTTGGAATTTTGAGTGATTTGTAACCCCATCATGTTTTACAGTGTTTATAAAAAATGCTGGACCATTCCCTGTGTATATTTTTTATATATTTCCCTGAAAACAACAACCACTATTCCCAGCTAACAACCAGTTGCTAGATATATTACCATAGTTGCAATAAACAACTATTGGAACTGAAAGTGTTTCTTTTTCTATTACTTTTTTATTGGCAACCAGACAGTCGACATACGAATATAATTTAAATAAAACATATTTATTTTTTATTCACTTCTCTACATATCAACTTTCCCCCCAAAAAATGCCCTGTTTTTCGGCATGTAATCGACGTTCGGTTACACATTTTCCGCAAACAACAAGCAACACAAATCGAGCCAAAACTGCAGTACGTCATCGTAGTTCTGATATTCAATATCCCAGCTATGCTTGCAAACAGGATATATCATTTAATCCATGTTCGGAAGTTTTCTATACCCGAGGCCTAACGCCAAACTATCATAACCAAACTCGTAAGAAACAACCACGCTCAAAGGATGTACGAAAAGTCTCTATACCACCAAGAGAATTAGAACGTCTTAAGACTGCCTCTAAAGTGGTGACAATTGAGGAACGTTTGGATGCTCTGATGAAACGTGAAGAAGAGGCAAAACGTTTGGAAGAGGAAGCTGAGCGTGCCAAACAACGTTTCAAAGAAATTGACGAGGAACGTAAAAAGCTTGAGGCAGAACGTAATAAAACCCTTACACCCGATGAGGGTAATGACCAAATACGTATATTGGAAAGGGCCTTCCTTGCCAAACACGAACAGGAGGAAGAAGTCAAAAAAGCCAATCGTATTATATTGGAAGCAAAATGCCATGCTGTGCGTGATGCACAGGTCCAGGAGAAAACTCAAATACAACGGGAACTTAAGAATCACGAACAACGTTTGGAACGTCAGGTAATCGACAATGCCATAAAGGCTCTCTCCGAGGAAGATGAAAAATTTAATAAACTTCACGAAAACAAACAAAAATATGCCGACGAAATTAAAAAGCAGCTTCACGAAAGAGAAAATTTACGTTTCCTGGAGGCAGAACGCATTGAAGAGGAGGCCCAAATGTTGCGAAAAGCCAACGAAGCCATCAAACGTGATGAAGAGCGTCGCCAAAAAGAATCCCAAGAAAGACGTCGCAAATATCGTGAAGATCTAGCTAAAGTTGTAGAAATGTCCACACAATTCCGTAAAATGCTTTGGCAGCAGGAGCGAGAAGCTGAAATGAAAGTAGCTGCCTATATGAAAGAGAAAGCGGAGCGTCTAAAGGCACTGCACAATGAGAAAATGTTGGCCAAACAGGAATTTGAACGTAAACAACAACGTATCTATTCTCTGGCCGAAAAGATTCTACAATCAAAATCGGATCGTGAAGAAATGTCCTATCTGCGTGAACAGGAGAAAATCGAACGAGAATATAGGCGTAAGGAACGTGAAGCCGCTTTGCGTAAAAAACAAATCGAAAAAGAATTGGCTGAGGCACGTGAACGTCAAATGCAAGAGACCAAACACCGTCAAGCGCTGCAAATAGCTCGTGCCGAACAAGATTTCAATGTACTCATTGAACGGCTTAAAAATGAAGAGGCCAAGGAACGGCGGGCCCAGGAGGAAAGAGATCGTAAGCGAGATATGTATCGTCTTGAGATTATACGACAAATGGGCGATAATGAAATGCAAAGACGTCGTCTGAAAGAATTGGAAAAGAGTCAAGCGGATGCATGGCGTGAAAGTGAAAGGCAGCGAGATGCTAATATACGTGCCGTCATTAATGCTAAATTATCAGCTATGCGTGAGGCCTGCTTGCCGGAAAAATACATTAAGGATGTGGAGAAACAGCTATCACGTATTATTAGTAGTGGTGGTGGTGGTCAAGGTAACAGTCATGTTACAAAGTTACAGTAAATATTCATGCATGTATGAATGACATATATATTTTTTATTTGGAGCTATTAAATATCACTGAAAGCATTAATCATAATTTGTTCCAAAACATTATCACCATGACGATAGCAAAAACACATAGCGAACAAAACAGGGTTTAAAATCAAATATTTACTTGATGTATTTTATTAACCATAACAGATAAATATCAAATTGGAAATCCTTTTTTGTTCCAAAACACTATCGCCATACATTGTTGAAGATTAATCCTTGTCTTGTAATCTGAAGTATTACCTCTGTGTGTAATTTCCTATATTTGGCGAATTTTTAAACAATACGAACAATATTCCTATTATTGCTTAAAAAACATTATTCGTATTGTCTGAGTGAATGTGAATATAGTTATGGTGATAATGTTCTGGATTTTAGAATAACATCTATGTCGAATCTAATGCTATTCAGGCCTATAAAAAATAAACTATTATTAGCGACATTCTTTCGTTTTCTTATTATGCCTCTGTTAGTCTTAATTTTATGCTCACTAGGAAAAAGTTGTACCAGAAGGCTTGATTTTTATTAAGTGAATTAGGACATTTATTTGTAATGAATAGGGGAGAATGAAACAGGACCCTTTAGTATTTCAATTGTCTTAAGAAACACTTTTGATGGTTATATTTATTAAAAAAAAAAATCTTACAAACCTAAAATCCTCAAAATGCCGAAAATCGGAGGGTGGGAGCTATAAAAAACCATGGATGTTATATTTAGCAATGGACCAATATTAACAACTTTTGGTACACACAATAGATGCTCATATGTACAATATTCTGTAGATAGAATAGATATAGCATCTTTTGGGGCAATTGAAATGGAATCGGACGAAATTAACTTTGTGAAGTACAACCCATACACATAAAATTCTGAAATTTATGAAAAATTTGAAGTCAATAACTTGTATGAAATGGTACGTTGTAAACTAATTCGTCCGACAAACTTTAGTTATTTGGTATACCATTTACATGAAATCGAATGGAAGCTAAACCTGAAACGACTTCAATCCAGTACGCAATGGAATATTTCAAATAGCTGGCTTGTGACAGAACTTTCATTCCATCTTATTCGTGGCTTTCCCCTTCTGCGTGAACCATCAGCTGGTTCGCTTTTATATGCCTTTTGGGCTGGGGCATCTTCATCCATTCTCACAGCATTACCTAGCCAACGTAGTCGCTGCAGCTCAATATGTCTAACAATGCCTACGACCGAGAATAGCTGGTACAACTCATGGTTTATTCGCGATATTCACCGTCAACGCATATCGGTCCATAGATCTTTCGGTGTTTTTTTTTCTCTCAAACACTCCAAGAGCTGCCTCATCTGCTTTGTTAAGTACCCATGCTTCAGATCCACATAACAGCACGGGTAGTGGCCTTTCTTTTGATTTGCTTACTCAGACCATAGTAGCATCAGTTGGCCGACACTATTCTTCTACGATTTTTGATGACATTAGTTTTATTTATGGCACACAGAAAATGGCACACATCATTCTAGACCTAATTCAGTATTCCATGCAAAATTTCGTGCAAATCGAAAGATATATAGGCACTTTGGTATACCATTTAAATTAAATCGGACGAAAACTATTTATAACTATATCTAAATCTGAACCGATTTTCACGAAACTTAAAACACATCATTCTAGACCTAATTCAGTACACTATGCCAAATTTCGTGCAAATCGAAAGATATATAGGGACTATACATTAAATCGGACGAAACTATATATGGGAGCTATATCTAAATTTGTACCGAGTTTCTCCCATTGCAATAGGGTTCGTCCTTGGTCCAAATAAGTGACCTGTGGCTAAATTTAAATCGGATCATAAATGCTTTGTATAGAATTAAAAGTGGACAGACGAACGGGCATATATCGAAAGTGATTCTATGCATATTCTAAAAAGGAACAATGGGTCTATCTCGATTCCTTTTACCTGTTACAAACATATGCACAAAGACATAATACCCTGTAACACGGTGTGGTGAAGATTATAAAGAACCTAATCAGAGGACTAATCCAAATAATTTCGGTCTGAAAACTTTACATAAATCTTAAAAACATCGAAAATCGGAAGTTTGGGAAAGAGAATTTTTAATAACCAGCCAATTCGTTTGGAGAACGTATCGCACCATTCTTAATATATCGAAAAGTTAACGCTAAAGATAAATCAATATTTCATATGTCTAACTCTAATCAATTTCGTTTGAAAAATAGCCCTATGTCTTAAAAATGTCGTAAATCGGAAGCTTCAGGAAGCCCTTAACGGGAATATCTAAAATCTTATTGCGACATTTTGTAGAATATTTGGTGGTAAAAAAACTCATCCTGTGGTAATAGCTTTATGGTTTAAAAAATAAGGACGAAAAAATCGCAAAAGTACTCGAAATATGAGGATATGTTTTACAAAAAAAGATTCTCATGACCGAAGACATGTTATCCCAAAAAATCAGCAATAGCCGCAAACAAAGATATAAAGCTTTTCCTTTGTGAACATTAATGTTACCAGCAATAAATTCATCACACCGGATCTACACAGACCATTTTTAGCTAAATTATTTTCGGCTCTCTAAAAACTACGAAAGCTCTACAACAGCCATTTCAATTGGATAATGTGGCCCATCTTCGAACTTTGCATGGTGTGATTACAACGGATGAAATCCCATAAATGGAATCCTCCCATCTAGAGGGGATGTAGGTATAAATATTTTAAAAGTAGTTCTTAATAATTATCTATAAAAATTAAACTAAATATTAAGTATTAATTGGCCCACACCCTATAAATACACCCTTACAATACTCACTACCCATACAGAAAAATATCCCTTTAATAAAAAATAAATTTTACCTTGGCCATCAAGGCTTTTCCATAAAATATATATTAGCCTTTAAATTTCCATATTATTAATAGATATTTTGTTTTTTTTTTATATAAAAAAAGATGTGTAATGAATAGTATCATATTCAAAACTAAATAATTAAAAATACATTCATAAATTAAACTAAAATACGATTATAAAAAAATTGGTAATGAACTATATACTAAAATTAGAGAATCATATAGGAGAATAAAATGGAGTCGTGGTGTCGAGAAGTAGTGCCCTTAAAATGTTTTACCATTATTCTTTTTGGAACCATTGTTACGAGAATTTTGGCTAGACTTCTTGCGACGTTTCTCCGACGACCAATCCACATCGTCTTCATCATCACTTCCGGCATTTGTTGTCTGCAGATATGATGACGACGACGAAGAGCTGGCACTGTTACTCTCCTTGGTGGCCAGTCGACGGCTAGCAATGCGGCTGGATATACGACCCATGCCCATACACTTTTCCAAGTGTGGAGCAAAACGAGCCGCCGACACAGGCCTATCACAGTTGGGGCAGGTGCAGTCCATTGGTTTTTTGGCGGTGGATATGCCAAATATATCGAAATTTGGCATGTCGACAATACGAAATGAGGTTTCTGCATCGTCTTCGTTCACACCGTCCATCGCTGTCAGATTGCCAGTCTTGCGCAAATGGTGAATTTCCAGAAATACACCGACAACGGCATCGTCCAACAGCGACTGATACAAATAGTTGGCAGCTTCGTCCAGGGTTTTGGGGTCGTTTACAATTTCACGATACGATTTGATAATACTGGCAGTTGAGGTATTTGCATTCTGAGAGTTGTTGTTCGATTTTTCGTTGACAGGAACTTTAGATGATGAGGTTGTTGAATTTGTCGATTTGCTGGAAACAGCAGCATTTGCAGTGCCGGTTGACATCTCCTTGCAAATAAATTTGTAAGAGCAGCGGAACAACAGAGCAGCGCTAGAAGAGTTTATAGGCGGTATGGATTGTGAGAGACGGCGTCAAATGGGGTTTTATATATTTGCAGGGGCGTTGAATGTTTTTATACCAAATATATTTTGTGACATCCATGCTGTTTATAACATCGCCATGGGTCAGAGCCGTCGAAGGAGTCCTTAATATCTACATATATGGTCATATAATATAAAGAAATAAAAATTCTTATCCCAAAATAATGTTGCGGCCGTTCAAAATACTTGTGGCGGCTTGGTTGACTTTTTATGGCTTTGTTGTGTTAGGGTAACCTAGGTCGAAATCATTGCAAGGCAATCAGCTGAGAATCATTTCTATTTAACGGCGTTGCAAATAGACAACGGCTGGCTTTTCAATATTCTAGTGTTTATTTTTTTAGCATTTTATTGAAAACAATTTGCAAACAACATGTTACTCAGTGAAAAAGATAGTAAATATAAACAATTTGTGGAAAAATTATTGGCACGATGCCAGGAAATACAAACGGAGAACGAACGATTTGTTTTGAGGTAAGATTTACATGCATATCCCTCCTCTTTATCCCGAATTCAAAATTTTACTATCAATTTCAGAATAAATAATATCAAAAAAATGATAAGGCGACGTGAACGTGATGTTGAAATACTCAAGGCAAGACTCGATAGGCACAATGATGGCTGGAGAAGTTTACCAATGGTGGCACCACATCCCAAGCGAAAAATCGAACAGAAGCGTGGGCCGAAACCAAAAAATAAGGACAATACCACTGCTAATACCACCGAGTCGACACCCAAAGAAAAGAAACCTCGTAAGCAACGGGTTAAAAAGTCAGCTAGTGATGATAAATCATCAATTACATCAACGACCCAGGGAATAAATATGACAGCAATGGATGTACAAGATATGCTCTATCAGGAGAGTCAAGCCCAACAGTTGCTAATGATGCAGCAGCGGCAAATGAATCTTAAAAATGATCAGCTACTGTGATTTAGTTTTTCCATATTTTGTAAACTATCGATTTAAGTTATAGTATTAATCATTTAGGATATTTAATAAATAATAGCAATTATTTTGAAATGAACATTTTTTTGAGAAGATATTTTTAAAAATTATGCAATGGTTAGTACAAAATGTCTCAAATTACCGGAACTTTACAATTCTAGCTTTTATTATCGTTTGTGTAGCGTACATCGCATTAGCAATTCGTCTACTTCAATCCTTAAGTCTGAGCTTCTGATCTCTACGATTCTCTTTTGAATTCCTTCTCTCTTGTCAATTTTTATACCTCTCTCTTCTAAGAACTCAGCAGAGTTACTTACAAAAGTTACATGTATAAACCCAAACTAATGCGGGTCTGGTTCTATGTTTATTTGATTTTAAATGATATTCTTTTTTAAGATTATTCCTTAATTTGTTGGCAGGCACTTAGGTTGAAAAATGAGCCGAAACCTTTAAAATGGTGTCATTTTTATATGCGGGCTTGGAAATATAGAAAATCGGATTTGGTTTTATATTTCACAATATACCATACTAAGACTGAGGGTATAAGAAGATACTTTACACATATTACGCCAACCAAAATTGTGTGCTCTTCCTCTGCTTTATTTGTATTTTAAGTTAAAAAGTAATAAAGAACAAGTGAAAAAATCGTTAAGTTCGACCGGGCCGAACTTTGGATACCCTCCACCATAGGTATAATGACAGATACTTGCAGTGAAAATATAGGGAACATACCAAAAAGTAGGCATATACCGATAATTGTACAAACCGATTTATGTAAATCATTATGTACAACAAATACAAATTTCAGTAAATTTAAAGAGAATTTTTCCTATAATCTGAAAGCTTCAAAACGTGGTCTGATATTGATAACTCATGGTAGAGTATAAAATCCTTAAACTACTGCAATTTAGATTACAATGTTATAGTGTAGCAAATAGCGAATATTTGGGGATATCATTATATGAGGACTATGCCTAATTAGTGACCGGGATATGTCAATTTTAAACCCAATATTTTAATTTTTTATCTCAATTCTTCCCTTCAAGAGATATCATTATATGAAGGAGATGCCTAAATGCCTGCCAATATATTTCATTATTGTCAGGTTTGAGTTTTTTATCACGAGTTTTTATCACGGAATGATTAAAACAAAATGGCTTTGTAGGGTAAAAACTGACTATTCCCAGTAACGACTACCCCCATATTATGGCACAATAGTGGGAAAATTTGTTACCATATACGACTACAAAATACCAAATTTCAGCGAATTCTATTGAAAAAACGCGCTCAAGAGCCCCAAAATAACGAAAATTGACCTATATTTATAATTTTTTGTGGAGAGATTTGATACCCAATAGGAACTCAAAGTACTAAATTACAGCTAATTCGGGCGAAAAATGTGAATAAAACCCCCCAAAACCCGTTATATGGGAGAGAGAGAGATTTGCTACTCAATAAGAACTCAAAGTACCAAATTTCACCGAAGTCAGTTGAAAACGCGCTCAAGAACCTCAAAATACCGAAATTTTGGGGGTACCCTTATATGGGAGCTATGTCTAAATGAGGACCGATGTAGCCCGTGGACAAAATACGACTCTATGCAAAATTTTGGCTATCTATATATATATATATATATATATATCAAGAATATATATTACAAACGGAAAAACGAAAGTAATATACCCTTCATACTATGGTGGAGGGTGTAAAAAACAAGTCACATTAGATCATTTTCCCTTTAAATCTATTTTGTATACGTTTTAATATTAGCTTCGCGATAGTGAATGTCAAAAAAATGTTTGTTTATAAGATCTAATGATTACATAGGTATAACATGTCGTTGAATTTATGTTATCATTACTATATGAGTCATTCATAGTAAAAACAAAAATTAAGATAGCGGGGAATCTCTTCATAAATCAATATCAACAGATTATATCAATACGGAAAAAAATGCCAACACTAAAAAAGTACAAACACAATTTCATAAACAATGCCTAAAAGCATATATTTTTGCCAAATTCAATGGAGTGCGTTGTGTCTAACATGCATTCCATACCATATACTTTTTCAAATTTTATTATTATAGACGGTGAGAAGTGAGCTTAAATTATAAAACTATAAAATATATGTATATATCTTCCCTTGAGGGCTCGAAAGACGACGACAATCATATAAGCATAACAATCAAATATTCCTTAATTGGAGAAACAATATAAACTAACATTTTATTCAGTTTGTCTCAAACGGGCCAATCGTTGAGTCAATTCGTCTTGTTCCTGTGATACCTGTGTGGAGGCGCCAATTGTCGATGATTGTACACCACTGGGCAGTTCCATGTTCAGCTCCAAACTGTAAGCAATTAAATAAAATGTATTTAATTCCACAGTCCGAAATTTACAATTTCTAAGTACATACCCTGCCTCATCGGCCACTTGTTGCAGCAGATTATCAACATCACCTTGTGGCACTGAGGTTGTTGTGGTATCGGACATTGTATTCTCCATGACAGAACTTTGAACATCCAAATCTTCGAATTGTTGTTCGAATTTCTCCATCAATGAGGAGATCTTTTCCAAATTCATACCCTTCATGGCAGCATCCATAGCCTTAACAACTCCAGCCATTGAACCGGTCACCTTACGTGTGGTCAATGCCGATTGAACACGACTGGCGACAGCATCTACTCGGGCGCTCATTCGCAAATAATTCACAGCTTGATTTTTCTGTCGTATTGCATTTTCGGCATGTATTCGAGCCACATCCATATTACCCTTCTGTATGGCCTTCTTGGCTTTGGCCTTTTCCAATTTCTCCTCTTTTTCACATTTTTTGCTATTGCGTTCTAGCTCCTTGACAGCAAATTTTAAATTGAATAAATGTTCTAAGAAAATTGAAGAATCAAAACAAAGACGAGACAACATATAAATTTGTTGAGGAAAATTAGCGACGATGTTTACTACATACTTTCCATTTGTGCCGACGACATTTCGTTCCCCAGTTTGATAGATTTTTAAGAAAAAACAGAAAAGAAGATAAATTTGTTTGTTTTTAAACTACAAGTGTTGTTTTTCAACTAAAAAAGTTTATATTTTTTCTCTTGCAATTTGTCTGATCAATGAATCACTGATGTACGTCATATTCTTATTGCATCTGTAATGGCGACGTATGTCTTGTGTCAAAAAAGTGTTGCCACTTTATGAAATGCCAAATTTCTCCATATAATCAAATTTATTTTGCTGAAAGAATACTGTTCTGGTAAAAATAACATGCAAGAAATTACAATTTTTTAAATTTGTCGATTTTTCTTTCAAACATTAAGAAAATACACGCTAATTGAACCATCCTTTACAAAGTATAACTAGTAAAAGGGCGGAAACAGAAAACTTGTGAGCGTTTTCCAGCTAAAAATTGCAGATTTGGGAACACAACTGTTGCGTTTTACCCCATATAAATTTTCTATATTTGTTCTGTTCCTATACTTAAAAAGTGGTAAAATTATTCAATTTTCTAAGTACAAATGATTTTATTTCATATGTTGCCAAATTCTCTAGTCTTCGTGGAGACTAGTAGTAGGAAATTATGGTATTTACCACCTTTATTAGGTTAAGCATATCATAGAATGGGCCTCATGTTAAATAAAATTGAATTGAAAATATGTCCACCATAGAATGTCATGTTCCTCGTTGTCCTGATCCACTTCTCGGTTAAATTACATGGTGTTAGGTCTATAGGTCTATAGAGCGATTATATTCAGACAAAGATTTTGGTCCATTTAATCCAATAAATATTATCTAATTAATACAGAAAACTATAGGTTCCCCCAGGAACATAATATATTTTGTAACGTTTGGCGCTATATTTGATAGTGGTAAAAAGTTGGACAATAGTTCCCAAATTCGAGTATAAACATCAATATTCTTTGTATAAATTTAAAGATCAATCACTACACTTGGATAAACTGTGACCTTCCGCACTCTACGTTTTTCTGGAGTACATTTTGTCATTTTTCACACAAAAGTTTGAGTCAATTTAACCGGCCAAATATTAAATGATATACAGGAAAACTTCCATGCTTTTTCCTGAGCAGATATCCTTCCCCTTCTTCCGCGACCAGAATAACAGACAAAGAAAAAAGTTTTAGGTGCATTTGAATAGATGGTCTTGAAGCAACATTTCGTTGTTTAACAAACTCTTGGGACTAAACTAATCCTCACAACATAGTAGTGTACAGTAAAAAAATATAGAAAAAATGTATTTGTTCCGGAAAAAAATGTCCTAAATCCGCCCAAGTCCTAAATTTTTCATTTTTGATGCCCACATTCGGCAACACTGATAGGGAATCAAATTCATACCGAGTACAAGTAACAAGAAAGGACACTATTTTTCAGCTTCTCCAGTCATATCTGTTCCTCAAAAATCAAATTTTTTCGTTGCTGATAATAATTAAAACATATTTCTCGTATTTTGAATTTTGACAAAATTATGAAAAAATTGGAATCATGAAGTCATTGTTTTGATTTACGAAATCCACTCGATCTGATATGTCAATTCCATAGCGTATACGTCAAATATAATCCACTATAAGAAGTCACACAGACAAAGTCAGTTTTTTCATGTGGCAATATACTCCTACCTCTCAAAAAGAGAGGTACAATCCCCAACTCGCTTAAATATATATGATGAACATAATTAAGGTGACGTATACGCTATTTAGTAGTCTAAACGAGCTCATATGTCTTCATGACATCAGCTGCGCAAATGTCATAAATACAAGGTAGGAAAGCTTGAGGTGAATAACAAAAACGCAACTATGGAGATAGTGACTTCTTCTGTCAAATATAACATAAAGAAATGCAACGATTTTTTGTGTTGATGTGACATTTTTTCAATACATAACCAAAAAAGAGAAAAATTAATGAAAGATTATTATTTCTTCATAAAATTCATTAGAGAATAACTTGAAAATATTTGTTTCATTCATAAATCTGCTTTTCCTCAGGCAACTTTTTATTTGGCAAATACTGAGTTTGTTGTTTGGGTGCGAGGAAGAAAAAAAAATTTGCCTGTCCAGAATTTGCCGTACACGCAAATTCTGCTTTGCTCTGTTTGTTGAAAACAATTTTGTTGATATTTCCTTTTGAACCTATTCGCTTTACTGACACACAGTCGGCTTTTGTTTACAAACCTGTTGCTTTAATTTGTGCAAGTGAAATTTAATTTTTAATTTTTGCAATTTATATAATAAAATATATAAAAAATAAATAAAATATTAAAAAAATCTTTAAAATGCAAACACTTTTGACTTTTATTTTCTTTCTTTTGTATTTTGATTCGCAAAATTGACAAAGAAAAATTTGCTAATGGAAAAGCAAGCGAAAATTTCAAAAGAGAAAACAAAAAATTTGCCAAATAAAAATCTGCCTGTGGAAAAGCAGACTAATAGGACGTTTACATTTAAGCGGATTTCGTTAACCCAGTGGGTTTCAATTGTCAAAGCCTTTGTATATACGTCAAATAAATCCTCATAAAGTAGGTTAACCCGGTAAAAAGTTCTAATGTACAAGGAGTTTAAGAGGGTAATTAATTTTGGACGAATGCGGTAAAGAACTACTTCTTTTCAATTAAATATTAATATATTTCTATTTAATTTGAATTTATTTCAAATGGTATTCAAAACACGTGAATTGTGAAAATGATAAAAAAATGTTTCATTTCAAAATAACATAATATAATTGTAATAAAAATTAATTAATTGTAATAAAAATTACTTTTTAATTAAATAACATTCATTCAATTCGATACTTTCCTTTCATACCATGTGATCTCCCCGTATACCAACTGAACACAGCTTAACGAAAGTGTCAAAAAATTTAACGAAAATGTCAAAAAATAAATAACATGAAGTTGGCAGCAAAACCACCTTCTTTCTTTCCGGTTGTCAAAAAGGTACGAAAGCAGTGAATTTTTTTCCCGAAATTATTAATAAATAATTTTCAATTATCAACAATATCAATGAAATAATGTGTGAACTTGTTTGTAATTTCAGTGCAAGGACGACAAATACATATAACAATGGCTGACGTTGATGTGTAAGTTGTGGAAATTAAATGTTAATGCAAGTTGAACCAAAAGGAGCCGCCTTTCCTCAAGATGTAAACAATTCCCTCCCAATTAATGAATGAATTGTTGTGGTCTTTCTAAAGTGTTGGACTCAGCTGGCATATAACATGAAAATAGTTTACAAAAATTGTGTTTTCGCTCAGAATTTGATTAATAATTTGTGTGTTTTTCTTTGGTGTTTACAGAGATGTACCCTCCGCTGCTCCCGCTGTTGGTGGCGCCATGGACATTAATCAAGCTTTGCAAGAAGTCTTGAAGAAGTCCCTCATTGCTGATGGTCTTGTTCATGGTATTCACCAAGCCTGCAAAGCTTTGGACAAGTAAGTGTTAACAAAAACATGTGTTTGCAATCCCCAAGTACACGTTTTCATGTTTATTTTTCTTCTTCTTCCTCGTCTAGGCGTCAAGCCGTTTTGTGTATCTTGGCTGAGTCTTTTGACGAACCCAACTACAAGAAGCTCGTTACTGCCCTCTGTCACGAACATCAAATCCCTCTGATCCGTGTCGATTCACACAAGAAATTGGGTGAATGGTCCGGTTTGTGCAAAATCGACAAAGAGGGCAAGCCCCGTAAGGTTTGCGGCTGTTCCGTTGTTGTCATCAAGGACTTCGGTGAGGAAACCCAAGCTTTGGATGTCGTCAGGGAGCACCTCAGACAAAACAGTTAAACTGACCAAATCAGTTTACACTGTGATGGGGTTCAGTTGATGATAACGATTGCTGCTTGTTTTTGTTTTTATCAAAAACACATCAACCAACCAAACCACAAACAACAACAAAGTGACTAAATCCAAAATAGATTTAAAAAAAGTGAACAACATTTTTTATGTGTTGAGACGTTTTTATTAATAAAAAAGCAACAAAAAAACTGAAAAAATATGTATTTGGAAAAAATGTTTTATAAATTAACTAATGGTGGTGAATGTGGACGGCATTGGAATTATGATAGAGATTCCTTATTCGATTTTAATGCATTTGGTTTTGTGTTTAGGCCAGTCATCCAGTTGACATTTCCTGTAAATATGAAAAATGAGAGAAAAATTAACTAAACTTATCAAGCAAAAGAAAATACCAACAAGGCAGGACAGGCATATAATTTCTTTTATATACAAATGTACTATAATAGGTCATCTAGAGGTATATTAGTATATAAACGCTTATAAAAATTATTCTACAAATACCCGTAGAAGGAGCCCAATATACAGTATCAATTTTAAATATATATATATATATATATATATATACAGAATATAATATATATATACAGATGGTCTATGGAAGGTTTTATAGAAGCACTTCCACATTAGGATTTCTACAAGCTTTCCATCCTCCACTATAGTATTGAGTATTTTTCAATTGTATTGTTCCAAAATTATTTTGGACTAAGGCTATTTTGCCAAGTCCATACCATAGGTTGTAATCACGTTATCTTATGACATGGTGTCAGTGTTGCCAATTTAGCACTTTTAGTGCTAGATTTAGCATTTTTTAAACTCGTTTAGCACCGAAAAAAATGACCTAGCACCTAGCATCTTTTTTAGCACTTTTTTCAGGGTTTTTTTTTAATGTTGGGTATTTTTGGATTCATGGTATTAGTTTGATTTAAAAAAAATGTCCGAACATATTTAAATAAATAACATAACCTTAAAGTTCGGCCGGTCCATGTCAATAATAGACCTAATTCGATTTTTTAATTACAGCCACTTCGGTTCTTAAATTGTAAAATTACCCAAATAGGATGGAAACTTTTAATGGGAAATAGGTCCCAACATTGACCTATGTAGAACATTGTCCGCATAAATATGTTCTATCCTACAAGAATGCGGCTAAAACCTTCAAAATATCAAATCTTGATCTAAATTGATAATTTTCTTTATTTTCCCAAAATGTACCGAAATGGTACCGTTATATAGTACCTATAGTAGTATATGGTACGGTATACATTTTTGTAGGAAGTTTTGCCATCCCCTTAGAATCAAAAGTATGAAATTATAGTCGATTCGGTTGAAAATGCCAAAATGCCGAATTATGGGAGTACCGCTCTCTGGTGGCTACTCTGAAACATGGAGCAACATTGATAATTTTTAGTAGAAAGATTTTCTGCAAAATAAGAATGCAAAATATAAAATTGGAGCCATTGAAGCCTTCGTTTGAAAAACGTGCTCACAGGACCAAAATAATGTATAATGGAGGTATCGCTCTATGGAGGCTAAACCGAAACATGTTCCAAATTGATAATTTTTAAAAATGATATTTATCACAAAAATAGGGCTCTTCTAAAAATGAACCAGTATTGATCCTTTTTAGTAGGAAGACTTTCTACCCATGGAGAATGCAAAATACAAAAGATCAGCAAAATATGGAATATTGGCTACCCTAAAATGACCGATATATCCTATTTTCAATACCAAACCTTCTTGAATTAGTAGCAATGTATATGCACAATTTCAAATTCTGACGACGGCTAAATTGACATAGAATTTTATTCCGATTATGAATAAATGGGGTCTTAGGAGAATATTTCCAGGTGATGGAAACAAATTTAATATTCACCCACCCGCCTTGTGAATGGCATAATAATTTTTTAAGTAATATATATCTCATAATGTTGTATAAATACATTTCCCTATAAATTTTTAGCACTTTTATTTGGCACTTTTTAAAAATTTTTAGCACTTTCTAGCATTTTTTTAAACCAAATCTAGCATTTTTTATCAACAAAGTTTTGGCAACACTGCATGGTGTTGAATTTATGAGAATATGTTTATTTTGTTAAGTTTAAAGCTAAAACTTAGGCATTAACAGCATCGAATTTGTTGTAATTTAGCTTTTGCAATTCATAGAAATCAGAAAAATTTCCTTGCAAATAAATATCGATATAAATACACTTTCTTTAGGCATATATTAGATATCTACTGCCAATCAGAGATGTTTGGCGTTCCTGATTACGATGATATGCGCATTTTAGAATATATGGGCCTCCAAAGATCAAGAGCTATCTTTTATTTCTTATGTTTTTTTTTAATTCACAAAGGCATTTGAAGTTCTGATTACAAAAATGAAATTTTGTTATTGAAGAAATCCATATTTCCTGAGACGTGGAACGCAAAAATTCCACGAGGTCCCCTTAAAAAACTCTCTAAAGCAACATGGGTATCAATTGCGAGTGACTGAAGTTCGAATTGTATTTTTTACCAAAAAAGTACAAACGTCCTTAGATATGGGTCTCCAAAATTTCGTAAGTACCTTCCGTGTAATATTAACCAGGACGATGGGTATAATTTACTAAGGCAATTTAAAGCAGTTGAAGTTCTTATGCAAAAATGTAATTTCCTTATGGAAGAATTTTATATTTCCTGAGATATGGGAAGCCAAAATTCCGCGGGACACTTTTTAAAATTCTCATAAGCAATATGGGTATCAAATAAGAGTGACTGAAGAACGGATTACAGAAATTTAATTATTTTTATCAAAAAAGTCCATGCTTGCTGAGATATGGGTCTCCCAATTCGGTAAATACGTTTCGTGTAATATAAACAAGGCAATATGGGTACCATTTTAAAGGTCTAAGAAATTTACCTAAGAATAAATGTATTGATCAGCCTACGGCGAGCAGAGCTGAAGGCTAAGGTCTAAGAAATTTATTTAAGAATAAATGTATTGATCCGCCTACGGCGAGCAGAGCTGAATGCTAACACGGACGCGTCCATAGCTTGCGGATAGGGAAAAGCCCAATATTATTCATTGGGTTGCTACGAATATAAACAGTGGCAGCAGGAAATCAGCGGGTCTTGGGGGAGAGTCACGGTGGAAATGACCAAGTGGCTATAGGTTGTAGATAAAAAAAAACATGTATATGTTGTAAATTATATGCAGCCGATTTTTTAAAATACAAATGCCGATTATGCCGAAATTTAAGATTTTTCATGAAATTTATCTAGCAGCACTGGCCTTGTTGATACCAGAGGAGCTCAACAAGTTTTTCAGGCTCAACTGTCAAGTCCTTACCATGGTAAAAGGTTATGTCATGACTGGCCTCAAGTCTTAACTTCAACAACTTTCTATGAAGCCGACTGCGAGAAAACCGACAGCAGATGGTCGTCGGAATCTGGATGCAGGATTTCAAAAATGCTTTCTCATAGTAAGGGAGAGAGAGATAAAAACCACTGTAAGAATCATAACTGGTCACTGTAGGAAATGGGACATCAATGAAGTGGATTATTGCCGTTTATGTGAGGATACGGAAGATAAATGGTCATCGCTAAGTAGGTTGAAGACATCGACTCTTTGGCAAATATGAAATTTATACTCTAGCATTACTCTCCGTAATAGACCCCAAGAAGATCTTTAGATCTTTTACCTTCCCTCCCTATTTCGTTTTATTCCATTCCTTTTTTTCAGGTACCTTGGATGACTACAACGGACATATGTCCCCGATACGGCTACTAAACAACTGGTACATCCTTTAACCTAACCTTAAAAACCCCGGCCAAAGGGCAACTCCCAAAAAATATTATTCTAATGGAAAGAAGATTATGCCACGTAGCCGGAGTTAATGTCTGTCCATAGGAGAAAGACGTATTTCATATTTTGGAACTCCACATCTCAGAAAGTGTTGAAATTTTTGGAAGAGATTTGAAATAGATCCTCGTTTTTTTGATATAGGACAATATACATAGGTCCATGTTTTTAATTTACCATCTGATTTATGGAGGGTGAGCAATTTGCATTGTTGTTGCATTAGATTTTCACTATATGTCCATGACATATCCACCTTATATAGGTTCAGCATAAATTTTAGATATTTTTAAAGTTTTTATGGCATTTTCCAACCGCATTATACCCTTCACTACACTGCGGTACAGAGTATTATGTATTTGTGCATATGTTTGTAACAGGCAAAAGGAATCGAGATAGACCCATGATACCAAGTGGGTCCGTACTTAACGACGTTTTTACTTGGTTATTACATTCAAGTAGGGTTGAAAATTTCATTGCTAAAAAATTTCAGGAACCCTGTGGTGGAGGGGATAAAAAGGTCGCCATGTTTTACATACAGAATATTTGTGAAAAGTGTCTTGAATATAGTTAATTTATTTTCAATGTAGTAATGATTGGAATTTGAGCCCTCAGAGAGCTTCCAGAATGTACCAAAAATGGTATGGTAATCTTTTTCAATTTATTATTAGAAGTAATTTTAATCTTAAAAGCGCTTTGTATATATCTGATATGGTACAGTGAATTAATTATATAATCTATCCCGTTCGACTTCTGCCCTAATGAATTATAATAATCTTATTAATGACCACCATTTAACGGTCACTGCTTTAAATTTTCCCAATTCAAATGTAACATGCGCCCACCATATGATTTTCCTAGCTGTCAGCCAGTTTGGCATAATGTTTACAACCTGCGCCTGTCTTACAAATGGCGTTATACGTCATCATAATAATCATCATCATTATCCACAGCAGTTTGACATATACAAGTCTCTAAATAATAGGATGGAAACTTTTAATGGGAAATAGGTCCCAACATTGACCTATGTAGAACATTGTCCGCATAAATATGTTCTATCCTACAAGAATGCGGCTAAAACCTTCAAAATATCAAATCTTGATCTAAATTGATAATTTTCTTTATTTTCCCAAAATGTACCGAAATGGTACCGTTATATAGTACCTATAGTAGTATATGGTACGGTATACATTTTTGTAGGAAGTTTTGCCATCCCCTTAGAATCAAAAGTATGAAATTATAGTCGATTCGGTTGAAAATGCCAAAATGCCGAATTATGGGAGTACCGCTCTCTGGTGGCTACTCTGAAACATGGAGCAACATTGATAATTTTTAGTAGAAAGATTTTCTGCAAAATAAGAATGCAAAATATAAAATTGGAGCCATTGAAGCCTTCGTTTGAAAAACGTGCTCACAGGACCAAAATAATGTATAATGGAGGTATCGCTCTATGGAGGCTAAACCGAAACATGTTCCAAATTGATAATTTTTAAAAA